TAGACTGAGATCCATTTTTATCCCAAAGGTTAACTTCCCGAATGTCTGCAGGAGCCTACCCAGAGTGCACCAGTCAGGGGTCGGGCAGTCATCTGGGAAGCCACCTGCCTGACCCTGAGTGTGCTTTAGTGGGAAGCTAAGGATTGGAAGTGGAGATTTACACAGGGCACACTGATATAGAATTCTGGTGTCTGCAGTGGCATCTGAACTGCTATGCCAAATGCCCATTCCCCCATGAGATTTAAAAAGAAAGAGTTGTGTTAGTTACTGTAAAGTGATTTTAGTAAGTACTGAACAGCATGTGGAAAATACTTCTACATAGTTGCAAAATAAGCTGTAGCTGTAACTAGCACAGATGCACTGTTTCCTAGAACTATTCCAAACATTTAATATATATTGCATCTTTTGTGTCTTAACCTAGAGAGGGGGTTATCCTTTCTTTAGGCAGAGTGTGGAGAGATTGCACAACTTGGAGCCTGAGTAGGGATTGGATGCCTCATTTGGATGTCTGGGCTCGCCAACTGAGGCATTAATTTCTTCTGTAGCTTATACACACACACACACACCCACCCACCCACACCCTGGTGCTGAGTGCTGAATTGGCTTCTGACTGCTCCACTTCCCATCTAGCTCCCTCCTTACGTGCCATGGAAATGGTAGTTGGTGACTCTAGTACTTGGATGGTGTTCTGATTGCTGGCTCTAGCTTGGCTGGCCCTGGCTGTTTTGGCCATTTGGGGAGTGAACCAGCTGATAGAAGAGCTATGTCTCTCTGGGTTTCAGATAAATAAATCTTTCAAAAAACATGTACACTTCGTTCTAAAGTAAAATTCATGAATATGCTGCTTTTCAGGGTAATATTCCCCTGAGGTACCTTCCTGCCCCCTGCCCCTGGCCTGGCAGGCTCTGTGGGAATCCTGCCCCCTCTGCTTTTGTTGGAGATGTATCCTGGGCTCGAACCTGCCAATGGAAATGATAGGAGGTGCGGCAGACTCCCCTTCTCTGTGAGCTGAGGTGTAGGCTGGACCATGGAGGGTGGCGTATGGCAGACTTACACTGGAAAAGCAGCTCACGAAGTGCCCACTGTCTTTTTACAGCATTTGTTGAGGTTTGAGCCGTACTCGTTGCTGATCCCCAGTGCCTGCCCTTCCATTGTACTTTGATTTCAACTTCCATAACCAGCCCTAAACTGGCCAAGGAATGCATCATATGGTTTTTAGTCATTTAAGTATAGCATATAAATGTACTGTTTCCTCATACAAGTTCAAGTTCAACGGACCTCAGAAGCTCTGGAGTGAAGAGAATGAGTATGAAAAAATATTTATTCTTTTTTAGTCATTCTTTTTCCGATTCATTTGCAGAGCAAGTAAGCACGTTTCCTAGTACTTTTTACCTGCTTATTCTGTAGCAGGGCTGGACGAAGCAAGGCCTGAGGTGCGTACCCTGTATTGTCTCTGGCTATTCCTGCATTTAGCCCCTCAGTCTTGGAGGCCTACCTGGAGTGTTCCTCTCTCCACTGTTCTTCAATACCTGTCTCTTGGCCAGTGGCCATGCCTCACTCTTGGCTGTTGGCCTGCCCTGGTGCCACTGACACATGGAGTATTCTGCTCACAACGACTTGGCATTGAATGGTGGAATTGGTGACCCATGGACATCTGTGCCAGGTACCCAGGCTGAAGTGGCTGTGTCAGTGGAGAGAAAGGTGTGCAGGGATTCGAAAGTCACTGGAACAGAAGGTGAGGGCAACTGGTGGCCCTTCTGCCCCCAGCCCTGCCAAGGCTGCTCTCCAGCACACAGGGCACTGTTTGCGTGGAGAACATCAGCAGTGGAACCGCTGTGTGCCTACTGTACTCACCCAGTCCGAAGGGGTGCAGGGCTGTGGGTGAGTTTGCATACTCTCCTTGATTGTGCCTCTCCCCAGCAAAGCCTGTAACAGCCCATTGGGGAAGACGTCTCCAGTCCCTCCTTCGTAGTGGTATCAGCCTCCTTACTAGATACCCTTAGACACACTGTTAACTCAAGCCTTTGGCACTTGCTGTTCCCTCCCAGCTGGCTCACTTTGGGCTATCTCCTGTTCATCTTTCAAAGCTGAAAATCCGAAGTTTTACTTTTCAGAGCTAGGAAAAGGAAGATACTTTTTTGAAGGTTTTGCTTTATATGGGTTCATTTGTTGCGGTAACAACAAAACAATGCGCGTGGAGACCCAGCCTGTGCTGCCTTGGAATTCAGAAGTCTTCGGAGTCTTTAAAACATTTTTCATTTTGAGAGAGAGAGAGAGAAAAATCTTGTATCTCTCTGGTTCACTCACCAGTTAATTGCGGGGCCAGCACGGGGCAGGCCAGGCCGCAGGCAGGTGCTTCCTCTGGGTCTCCTACATGGTTGGCAGAGACCCAAACACTTGGACCTTCTGCTTTTTCCAGGGCTTCAGGTGGGAGTTGGATCGCAAGTGGAGCAGCTGTGACTCACACCGAACCAGCACCCCAGGGGATAGGTTGCTGGCTTGACACAATGCCTTAGCCTGTGCGGCTCCAAGAGTTACTTTAACTGCTGAAAATATTTTGCTTTTTCAATTTGTGACTGGGGTGGGAAGAGGTTAAGTACAAATAATTCTTATTAGAATATAGTTTTGAGATAGTTAGGCAAAGTTTTAGCAGAACAATGCCTGGAGGTGGCTGGCATTGGACTCTGGTTCATGTCCCGGCTGTCCCACTTCCAGTCTAGTTACCTGCTGATGGCCTGGAAAGAGTGGCTGACATTGGTCCAAGTGTGTGGACCGCTGCCACCCGCCACCCCCGTGGGAGACATGGGGAAGCTCTAGCTTTGGCCTGGTTTGGCCCTGGTTATTGTGGCCATTTGGGGAGTGACACAGTGGGTAGAGGATAGCTCTGTGTGTCTCTCTTCCTCTGTAATTCTCATTGTACCTCATTGCCCTTCATACAAACACACACACAGTCACTGTACTGCGACCATGCTTAGTATGTTCACCAAACCAGGGCAATTTTGCAAAAGTTTCAACGGGAGATCATTAGGCATCCACCTTACAATTGTAGTTTGGCTCTTTTTGACTTCTTTTTGTTTCCTAACTTTAACAGGTGTCTAAGGGGGGGCTCGATTTTCTTCAGTTAAAAATGCGCAAGGCTGTGCTGACATGACTGAATTCCCAGAATCCTAACTTCTTTAGGGATGGACTAACTGACATATCAATCTATTAAGTATATTGAACTTACGTTGAGAAATAAAATTTGTATTTTTTTTTTATCATTCAGTTCCGTTAGATGGACATTAGGTGTGCTTGTTGCTACAAGGTAGGATAGCACTTTTAATCCCTTTCATCATTTATATTTACAAAATATGTGAGTAACTTCTTTAAACATACCTATTTTGTTTATCCACTATACTGAAAAAAAAATTATTTCACACCAGTACCTTCAATTCTGGCTTATTTTTTTCTGATAGATGCGTGGTATTATGATCTTAGCATATTAACTACTCAATTCTTCTGTTTATAACCAAATTCATGGGCATTCTAGCTGAAAAAAAGATTTGTTTCAGAAATGCTGCTCCTCCACCTGCCTGCTTCCCCTCTGGAAATTTCTCCTCAGAAATAGCCATTGGAGGAATGGCATCAGTGAGCAGGAGGGCCAGTGAGGGGCCGGTGAGGGGCCAGTTTGGGGGCCAGTGAGGGGCTGGATTCGGACCTCGGTGGGTTAAGCCACCTCCCCTGTGTGTGTGCTGCTCCTCTCCTGGTAATGCGAGTGGGAAAGCAGTGGAAAATGGGTTCCAGGCTTCTGGCTTCAGCTTGGCCTACCCCCAGCCATGGAGACCATGGAGGGGGTGAATTCACAGATGGAAGATCTTACTATCTCTCTGACACATACACTTTGCTTTTCAAATAAATAAATAAATAAATAAATCTTAAAAAAAAAAGATAAAGTCTGGCCTTTCTCCCTGGTAAGGGGGAAACATTGGTTTTAATGTCCCATGCTCCTTTTGGAGGCTGTGTGGGGAAAGTGTGCCAAGAATGAGAACAGAGATGAGGCGATTGGCCTGGAAGCCTGGAGAGTTGTGTGAGCTTTGAGCTGTGTGGCAGTGGTGATGAGCAGAAATGGTCCCTCCTATAGCAAATTTGGAAGTTGGTCAACCTGTTTCTAATGAGCAGTTTACTGAGGATGCTAATTTGTCCAGGAGACTTATCTTAATAGGAAATAGCACTATAAGAAATAAATTGATTTCCTGAGCAGATGTTGGTTTAAGAGTATTCCCTATCCGCAAACTCGGGTCTGTTTGCCAATGTGCAGCAAGCTGAGCACTGCCACTGGGTGCTTTTGTTATGCTCGGAGCAAGGGAGTTGGGTAGCTATGGTTAATCCTGAACGCCCTGAGAGCTTAAGGTTGGTGAATTGAACAGACAGGCTTGGCTTGCATTCGGGTCATCGGTCCACAGTCCTGGGCTGGCCTTTGACTGGCCAGTGATAGGGCCTAGCGTGTTCTTTTTGAGAAGACAGCGGGCTGTGTTAAGCAGAGTATCACATTGCTTTCTCTTTGACTTGCTTTGCCTTTCAAGTCCATGAAAATCAATAAGTGAACATTACAAGATTTTAGAATCGAGGTGATAATTGAGTTCTTTCTTTGTGATCTGCCTTACCTTCTTGCTGCACCCTTAACTGAGTTCATCTCTGGCAGGCAGATGACGTAAATCATAAAAAGCTAGCAGAGAAACTGCAAGCTTGGGTTGGAGAAAGTGTGGTCTGATCAGTCAAAGGCATGGGTCAGGAGCTGGAGGCCACAGTGTTTTTTTCCAATTTAGTTTGTGTCTTAAATATTGAAATATTGAATTATATAGTGAAAGATATTAGCCTCAAAACATCTGATTGAATTTGATTTATGGACCACTCTGGGTAAGTATGAATAATTTGTATATTCATAAGCCAGTTGCCTTGATGTGAACTTATATGATACTTAGCTCTGGTAGTTACTTATTTTGTTCTTTTTTTTTCTTTAGATACTATGATCAGATTTGTTCCATTGAACCGAAATTCCCATTTTCTGAAAATCAGGTAAGTAGCTAATTTTGTTTCTAAAGTTTTCTGTAATGATAAGTTACCCATTGTCCTTGCAGTCACTGTAGCATTTTATTGCAGTAGGTGAAGCCTTTTCACTGTCCTAGGTTTTTGTGAAGTGTCTTTTGTGTGAATTAGAAACTTTGGGCTCTATGTGACCTGACTGACATCTCAAGGAAGGGTCTCCTGGGACTGTCTCTCTGAGGTCTCGCTGTTTGTGGGAGTGTTGCAATCTGGGCTGCATTCTGAGTTAAAGGGACTCTCATTGATTGATTAATATCATGTGCCTTGCCCTCCCGTTGACTTCTACAGAATCAACTGTGATTCAGCAAGCATTACTCTGGAATTTAAATGCTCTAAAACACTTGCAAAGATCACACTTATGTACAAGTTGCAGGTGTTTGTACGGCTAGACTTTTATACACAAGAGGTCAGCTTCATTTTCTCCTAGAGACGAGGTGTTGACAATGCAGCTGATTTTTATGGTTTTATTTTGGAATTTGCTGTAAGTTTTTGTTTATTTAATGTGTCATTTAATGACAACGGTAATCTGAATATTCAAGTACAGAGCTTTCAATAGGTGAAATGACTATTGAGATTTGCTTTAAAATACTCGAGGGGAGAATTACATGGGGTATCAGTGGGGCATAGAAGCATGAGAAGCCGGAGCAGCTGACGGGGTGTGCAGTAGTTCATAAGTGTGTTCTCTCTACTTCTTTTTTTTGCATGTTTGAAGCTTCTGCTGATCCAGCATCTTAAAAAAATTATATATTGGATTATCATCAATAATTTAAATCAGGCTAACTTATTTTAAGACTTTATATGTGGTATACTTTAGAAACAAAGATACAGTTTTTTTGTAAAGTAAAATTTTCATGTACATATAATGCAGAAAAAGAAACAAATAGTGTATTGCTTGAATTTTTATCAAGTGAATATGCAGGTAGGACCAGCACCGAGATTGATAAATAGAATATTATCCTTTCTTCCAAAGTAGCCATTCTCCTACTTTTAATATCATGGAATGGTTATTTTTGGTTCTGTCTTCTGGGAAATCTGTGGTACTTATTTGCCAACTCGTGTTAAGTGCTTGTTTTGTTGAAGTCACTATATGTCTATTTATAAATATAGGGAAGATATTAGTTATGACTACTGGTGGGGAATGACTATTTGAAATATCCTAATGCTTGTATTTATTTTTTAATCTATTTGGAATTCAGAGTGACAGAGTGAGAGAAGGAGAGAGCAACAGAGCGTGTGTGCACGCACCATTTTCTGTTGCTGGTTCACTCCCCAATGTCCTCAGTGGGCGGGCTTGGGCCAAGCTGAAGCTAGGGGCTCACGTACTTAAGCCATCATTTGTTGTCTCTCGGATGCATTCGCAGGAAGCGGGATCCAAAGCAGAGCAGCTGGGATCCGATCCTCCTCTTAGGCGGAATATCCGTTTCCCAGATGGTAGCATAAGCTGCTGCACAGCAGTGCCTGCTTGCTTCTCTTTAAAAAAAAAAATGTATATATATATATCCAGGAGAAGGAAAGGTAAAGCAGTTAATTATTTAGAGGTTAGACGGACTGAGCTTTTGTCCTGTTTTTCTTATTTTCCTTAAAAGAGACTTAGTTAGGGCCCAGTGCGATAGCCTTGTGACTAAATCTTTGCCTTGCAACCACCAGAGTCCCATATGGGCACTGGTTCGTTTCTTGGCTGCCCCACTTCCCATCCAGCTCCCTGCTTGTGGCCTGGGAAAGCAATCAAGGACTGCCCAAAGCCCTGGGACTCTGCACCTGTGTGGGAGACCCAGGCTTCTGGTTTTGGATTGACTCAGCTCTGGCCATTGTGGCCACTTGGGGAGTAAACCAGCAGATGAAAGATCCTTCTGTCTTTCCTGTTTTCTGCAAATATGACTTTCCAAAAAAAATAAATCTAATGAGATCTGGCAAGGTTAACAATTTTCTGTATTCTCTTGTTTTCTTCAGATTTGCTTGACATTTACCTGGAAGGATGCTTTTGATAAAGGTTCACTTTTTGGAGGTTCTGTAAAATTGGGTATGTAATGTTTTAAAATAAAAATTTAAAGAGTCTAGTTGAAACATTTGTATTCTTGGTTTTTAATTTAAAAACTTCCTGTAAATGCTAAATTATTAGTATCATTGTTTGACACCTCATTTTCTTTTTCACTTTTTCACTTCAACTTTCCATGCGAATTCTGAAATATTTGTAGAGAGCCTATGCCCTGCCAGGCACTGTCCTAGTTATAAAAATGGGTGAGACAGTGTTCAGTGTGTTGGGAAGGTAGGGCGTTCTCAGATGCCATGACTGTGTGTGATCCTGTGCGTGAGAGCAGGGGTGAGCAAGGCCAGTTTTGCTTTGTTGAATGTAAGAAATGATTGAGGGAGGCTTGCAGATGGCACTTGTTCTTTCCTGGTTAAAAAAGAAAATCACATTATAGTCACAATATCATAACTAGAAGTTAGAAGGATAAAAAGCTTTTATTCTGTCAGCTTGGAAGAAATGACTTTGTGCCTTCATTTTCTCGTCTCTATTTTATATACCTCTATTTTAATATATAAAACATATATATATATATATATAGGTGTATATAAAATATAAGCATATGCTTTATATATTAAATTTCAAACATGTTACACTGTGTAAGATGTGTCACATATATTTACTTTATATGATATGTGCAGTTAAGGTTAGTTATTTAAAAGAGAGCGAGTGCTAGCTGGGAAATTCAGAGCTTCTTGTTTGGGTGGCCGAGATGCAGCTGCCTTGAGCCGTTCTCTGCTCGTGGGTGGGTGGGTTGGCAAGAACCTGTGATGAGGAGCTTGCCAGGCGTTCTGAATTAGGTTATGGGAATTCCAGGCAGCATCTTGCCTACGTCACCAAGCCCACTCTTGTGTACACTTCCTGTTGTATTGTATGAGATTTACTGTAATACAGTGTCCATTTTTTACAAAATGTATTGATATGTTCATTTCATTATGGAAATAGGTATTATATTTTGTTTAAATGTGAAGCAGACATGAGAAACACACATCTAGGTGAGGAAATGGAAATATTTTGGAGTGTTACATAGTTTATATTGTATGTAGTACATGTGTATGTCATGATTATATTTATCATTACTGCTTGGGAACCGTGGCCTTGGAATGGGGGTGAAGATATTGGAAAGGAGATGGTGCAGAGTTGAAGATCTGGCCTTCTGGGTTTGTACTTTTCTCCTCATAAAAAGAAATAAAAGATTTATTAGTTATTTGAAAGAGTTAGAAAGAGAGCGGGACTGGGACGGAAAAGTCCTCTGGCAGCTGATGTACAGATTCACTCCCCAGAAGGCCCCAGTGGCCCGAGCTGGACCATTCTGAAGCCAGGAGCCAGGTTCTTCTTCCAGATCTCCTGTGTGCATGAGGGGCCCACAGACTTGGACCATCCTCCAGGCCACTGGCAGGGAGCTTGATCACAAGTGGAGCATTTGGGACTTGAACTGTCACTGAGATGAGATGTCTGTGCTGGAGGTGGCAGCTTGACCTGCCATGCCACAGTGGAGATGACCCTTCTCTTGCATATGAATAGCTATAAAGTTTATTGAACCATTCTTTGACTCACACAGTGTGCACAGAGCTTTATGTCATTATCTCACTGAATTCTCTGGTAGCTTGAAGAGGAAAGGTGCTTTGATTGACAGTTGAGAAAAAGTGGTTTGGAAAGATTTTAAGTGTCCATCCTCGGCCACATGGTAGGATTTCATGAAGCTGGGATTTGAATCCAGAGAGTCCACCTGTGGATTTAGAGAGTTGTAAAATAAATCCTAACATATATTTACTCATTTAAAAGTCCTCTACTCATAAAGTTTCAAAAAATAATCCCATTCTTGTTTTTATGAATATACTGTCTTTGAATTTCTTTGCAGACTCTAATTGTTACTTTTGAGACACTGCCTTTTGTTATTGGAATTACAGGTTTATTCTGGGTTCAGTCTTTCACTTTGCCTTTTTCAATTTTTTAAATTGTATCTCACATCATTAGTTTATTCTAGTTTTGTTTTTTTTCTCATGTATGAAAAGCTAGGCTAGACTAGCTGGTATGAATGTCTACTTCCTTTCAACGTGAGGAGCTAGAGCTGGTGTGTAGGCAAGGAGAAACCATTCTGAGAGGGAAGCTTGCCCTTGGAGGGCTTTTTAAAAATAAGAAAAAAAAAAAACTGTTGGCCGAGCTCTGTGGCCTGGCACCCGACTCTGGTGTGTCCTGCCCCCTGGGCAGTTTATGTGGTGCTTCAGAAGGAGCCTTCTCTCTTGTTGCCTGGTGATTGATGCTTGGTACGTCATGAGAGAGCTTGATTTCTGCCATGATTGAGTTCTGTAAGACACAAAATGCTGTCAGAAATTCTTGTTTCTTTTTAATGTTAATTTTTAAATGTGATAGAATACACATGCTGTCTTGAAGTGTGTTATCTCACTTGTACGTAGACATTATCATGCAGCCAATGCCACTATATTTTTAGCACTTCTTTTTAAGGTTTGTTTTACTTATGTGAAAGGCACTGTTGGAGGAAGAGAGAGAGAATGAACGAGCGAGCAAGCCAGTGAAGGCACATGCTCAAGCTTCCATTGCTGGTTGACTCTGCCTTGGCAGTGCCAAGCAGGGCTGGGTCCAGGCTGAAGCCGCGAGCTTCTCAGGATGTCCCACATGCGTGTCGGGACCCTGGTGCCATCCAACACTGCTTCTCCAGGTGCTTTAGGAGCATCCACAGAATGCCAGTGTTGCAGGTGGCAGCTTATCCTGTTATGTCATCATCTCTGACATCTTCATGAACATTTGCTGTTTTCTGCTGGTTTATTTTAGTAATTGCTGTCTGAATGGGTGTGAGGTATGCAGATTCTTCGGGTTCAGGGTTGCGTTTTAGCCAAATTGATCTTGTAGTTCTCTGAGGGTCACCTTGGCCTGAGCGAGTGAAGCATGGAAGGCCAACTGGGAAGTGCTCGCACTAACTTAGTTTTGTTGTAAAAAACTGTTTTAAATGTGGTAGGAGCATGCAACGTTGAGAGGTGATAGAAAAATAGAAAGAATTTATCTGAATTGACGAAATTAAGCAGGGGAAGACTTGATAATGACTGTAAGAAAAATGCAGAAGAAGAGAGAATAATGCAGCCAACTTTTAAACTTTAGGTGATGGGACTGTTGTGGAAATGAATGGCGGGAACGAAAGCCCAGAATTCGGGAGCGTACGCTGGGTGAGAGGACAGGTCTGCAGGCTTGTTTGTGTGAGACCAATGGGATAGAGGTCATAGTATTTCTCTTTGAAATATTCATTTTCTTTAGAAAAAAAATGATCTGATCAGTTTTTCCTTCTCAATTTTTTACAGCTCTTGCAAGCTTAGGATATGAAAAGAGCTGCGTGTTGTTCAATTGTGCGGCCTTAGCCAGCCAGATTGCTGCAGAGCAGAACCTGGACAATGACGAAGGACTGAAAATCGCTGCTAAGCATTATCAGGTATGCGGACGAGCAGTTACTGCGTCATGGGCAGCACCACGCGGGATGATATTGAAAATAACTTGTATTCAGGTTTTCACAACAGATGTTTTCTTGAAAAACAGTGTACTTTGAAAAGTGAATTCTTTGCTGTTGAAGCCCTGAGACAGACTACCAGTAGCCCAGGTCTGTTGTAAATCCAGCACCTAGCACAGTGCTTGGCTCAGTAAGTGTTGATCAAAGTGGGTAAGATGTCTGAGACGTCTCATACTCTCTGGGTAGTCCCCTTCGAATAGAGTAGCTCATCTGAAAAAGTCTGTGCTTGTGTTAATGTTTTCTTAAAGTGAGATATACCTGAATTTTCACTGGTATTACAAAAAGTGGGTTTAACTCTTAGACCTGTGCAGCGGTCACATTTCAACCTATTCACACGTGTCATCGTAAATTGGCCAAGTCTATGTTGCAGATACTAATCATTACTAATGTGGCACGTTACTCTGTGATCATTTATTATTTACTCAGCTTTTTAAGATTCATTTACAAAACAAATGATATTGTTAAGTGATGCTATGTATAATTGTGTTTTCATATGTTATATTACTTTATAATTTGCAAAGTGTTTTTATGTACCTTATTTGTCCGTCTTGTAAATGTTGTGATTCATGTTACTTCATGTCATTCACTGCCACGGGGAATCTAAAGTCAGAGGTGTTACTAAAGTAGTCCATTTGGGTTTCAGGTGGTGTGATTCTGAATTTCATTGTATTCCAGATTGTCTTGTCCCCTGTGGAATTTGTTCTTTTCAGAACTTGAGCCTGGCTTTTCCCATTGTTTTAAGTTGAGGGGATAAGCAAGGAATGCTGTCTTGCAAAGTGAATTGAAAGTGTACCTTCCTTTATCAGACATTGTGCTCTTGGGGATGGTGTGGTGGCATTTCAGGCTAATCTGCCATCTGCAGCAGGAGCATGCCGTACGGGCACCTGTTTGAGTGCTGGCTGTTCTACTTCTAATCTAGCTTCGTGCTAATGAGCTGGGAAAGCAATGGAGGTTGGCCCAAGTTCTTAAACCCCTGCCCCCATGTGGGAGACCCAGAAGTTCCTGGCTTCAGCTCAGCTCAGCTCTGGTCATTGTGCAGATAGCACAATGAATAAACCAGTGGATGGAAGATCTTCCTGTCTCTCTCTTTCTCTCCCCCTCTCTATGTAACTCTAACTTTGAAATAAAAATAAATAAATCTTAAAATAACGTGTTCCAAAATGTAGCTTATAGTTTTGAATGAGCATAGGTGAGATAATGAAGATACTATTTTTTTGAAACCATAAATTGCAAATATTTTTAAATGTGAAAGAGAATTTTTTTTAGCTTTCTATTAACTGTAACTCAGTGAATTGTCATATGGAGACTTAGAAGTCATGGCCTGTTGTTGAGAGAACATTGCATTTTGTGAGCGTCCACAACAAGTCACTGTGATGAGAAAAGCACTGGTGGTGTTACACCCAGCTCCTGGTCTAGCCTGCCTGTTACCTGGACACTGTGTCCTGGGCCTTAACCTCTCCAGACCTCCCACGACTCATCTGTGAATGAGACTCCAGCTTCTGTCTCTTGGCATATAATATTTCACTACTGCATAAAATGTGGTATTCATTTTAATGTAGTTAGCTTCCAGTTCTCTCTCTGTAGCCTGCCTGTGTAGTTGTGTTTTATTCTTACCCACATTTTCATGTTCTCAGGAAGTAGATCTAAAAATGAGCTGATTAAGGTTGTCCTATTTTCTTGGCTTTTCTCATAACTTTTAATCTTTGTTAAGTCTGCCTGTGTGGTTCAGGTGTTGTGGATTGATCTTGCATAGCATGGAAATGAACTTTTGCTGAGTTTCTATAGATTTTAAGAAGTTCTCTTTCCTCCTTTAGTTTGCTAGTGGTGCCTTTTTACATATTAAAGAGACGGTGTTATCGGCCTTAAATCGCGAGCCTACTGTGGACCTATCACCAGATACTGTTGGGACCCTCAGTGTCATTATGTTGGCACAGGCCCAAGAAGTATTTTTTTTAAAAGCGACAAGAGGTAACTTCAATTTATCCCTGTTTTATTGCACTTGGAAAGATGTGATGGTGATTAGAATATAATGTATTCAATTTAGAACTTTCTGTTTTGAATTTGATATATGGTTGAACAATTTCACCTTTGATATGAATGTACATATGAGACTGTAGTTTGTATTTTAAATGTTATGAAATTAAGTTAGCTATTGTCTTTAATAACTGGATGCTAGAAGAACATCTATGAATGTTTGTAATATGTAGAACATCCAGCAGACTTTCATTGGGTACCTTCTGTATGCCAGCCATTGTTCTAGTTGCTACATAAACAGAGTTAGCTGATAAAGCTTCTGTTTTTAGGAAGCTAATATGTTAGTGTGGGGGAGATGACAAGCAAGAAATTATGTAGATAAATTGATTCCAGAGAGAGCAAAATGCTCTGGAACAGATAAGAAAGGATTATGGGGTGTGGTAGCTTGTGATCCACCTGTGGGGTGGGGTTGCAGGGGGAGTCATGCTAATTTTAGATTAACTAGTCATGAAGACTTTCTTGAGGACATCCATGTTTAAACTAGACCTAAATGACAGGGAGAAGCCAGGCTCGCAGAGTCCCTAGCCCTGTGAAGGAGGAAAGATCAACAGTTCTTAGGAGGCGCATTAGCCAGAATGAAAGACTGGGATATGCGCTGAGTGCAGAAAGATTGAGAAAAGGGAGGTCATTGGGTTAAAGAGGTGAGTTGATAGAAATTGTTCTTTTAAATAAGCTCATATTGAGGTACAATTCATATCACCTCACAGTTACCCTTTGAAGTGTAGGCTTCACTGGTCTTCAGCAGACTCAGAGTTTTGCAGCCAATGCAAATATTATAGTTTAGAACATTGCTCTTCCTTCCGAGCGAGACCTGTATTGGTAGCAGTTACAGTCTCGTTCTTCTTTGCCCCAGCTGTTAGCAACCACTATTCTACCACTATGCTATTTTGTGTCTCTGGATTTGCCCATGAATAATTGAGTTTTATGCAGGAAAATTGGTGTGATTAAAGAAGATTTTTTTTTTCAACATGTTAAAACTTGTGATCTCAGTTTCCACAAGGTCATAGATGGTGCCATTCACTTTATAACAGTATTTCAATGCTGGTTCCAGATAAGATGAAAGATGCCATCATAGCTAAGCTGGCCAACCAGGCTGCGGATTATTTTGGTGACGCCTTCAAGCAATGTCAGTACAAGGACACTCTCCCCAAGGTCAGTGCCTGTTTCCATGAACAATTGGTTACTTTGCATGTGGAAATAGGGGGTATTTTTATACCTAAGATTAAAATTAAAAGATGATAAAAAGAAATTGGGGATTGGAATGGAGACTTTTGAAGAACGTATTTGTATAGATACATTTTTAAGTTGAAGACGCATGATCAGTTCTTTGATGTCTAGGGGATGCCTTTGTCTTTCACTAAACATTTTTTTCTAAGCTAAAACTGTGAAAAACTGACAGTCTGTCTTAAACAATTTTGTCAGAGCATTGTGGTTTGGGATCATTGGTGGTTTGGTACACGCATGGGTACATGAGCATGTTGATTATTCACACTTTTTAATTATTGTCCTGTTTTCTTAATTAAAGATGAGACTTAAGGCGCAAAAACAGACATAAAGAACAAAAAGGAAAAGAAAGCTTAATAAATACATCTTTTACATTGATTAGAATTCAGTTTTGCCAGCAGGTGTAGAAAATTGAGCTGCTAACGGACAGCTAAGGAAAAGCCACCATCTTAAACCACGTATCACAGGAAGTATGTTTTGATGTAAACTTTTCTAAGGGGCATTTGAGAAGATTACTTACTGAGTGATGGTCATTTGCAGGTGACTCACAAATATGGAGTAATTAAGGAATAAAGCAGTTTGAATGACGTGTGTTTACAGCTACACTTATACAGAAATATTCAAAGAAGGAGCCTAGCCTCATTTCTGTAGTGGCATGTGGTTTTTGTTTTATAATTTTTGTAGAATTGATGGGTTTATGTCACATTCACGAATTTCTGCAAATTATGAGATTGCAGACAGCTTTAGAGTGAAGTGAAAATGTATGTGAATACATTAGCAGGACACATTAGTTAGAAATGGAACACGAAGGAATTATTTGGAAGATTCCTGTGAGTTGAATATATACCAAGAATGAGGCAGAGTTGAGACTTGGGATCTCCTGTCACGGCTTCTTCCTGTAAGTGACGTCACGTTCAGCTGCCCAGTTCACCGTGCGTCCTGTTGGGCCGTTAGCTGAGCCCTGGTGTGGAGAGAAGAATGCCAGCTGCAAAGACTTGGAAGCTACCTCTGCAGCGTTCCTGGTACCCCTTGAACTCCTCTCCTGTTTGAAGTACCAAGTTGCACTGGCCTTGCCTTGAGAAGTGCCGTGAGAGCAATATCAGGTTTATTAGAGTCATTCAGCTAGGAAAGCTCATAGGCTTTTTATAATCTAATGAGAGAATGGAAGTGGACCAAGAAGCTAGGAGATTATTCAGATAGGAAAGTGCTACATTAGAAGACAATTTGGATTGTCTTACATCCTTGTCTAGACAGTGACTGCCTAGTATCTGAACATCTCTTATTTTTTTGTATTATATTATATCCTTTCTAAAAGCAGTTTGGGGGCTAGGATTTAGCCTCTGCCAATGGGTTTTTGGAAAAAAATTAATTTTGATTGGAAATCAAAGAAAACTGTACCAAGAAAACTGTACCAGAGATAATCCTGTGATATCATTAGTTATTATTGTAGCACTGTGATCTGGTTTCGAGTATATGATAATTCGGGCTTAAAGTTTATGGGGTAGGGAATCATCTTTATGTGGCTGCAGTCATCTTTGTGAAGTCTCAGCATGTGAATTTAAGTGAGCACTTACTTTCCTGTCTTTTGTCTTTTAAACATGATGAAACAGTCAGCTATAGAGCAATTTCATTAGTATATGTGAGTAATGGTGGTTTAGTTAACTCAAAGGGCTGGGTACGGGCTCCCAAGAAAGCTTCTAAAGCCCCGTGCTATGTACTCCTTTCTGAGTGGCCATCCTTCTCCTCCTAGTGCATGCATTCCTTTCTTCTTTGTAAACAAAATGGCGACTTCATGACTGTATTAAAAAGAATTTTCTTAAGAACCTAAATTGGCTTCAACTAACAGTTACAAAGAAAAAAAAAAAACCTTACTTTTAATTGGAAGAAAAAAATTGAATCTTAGGATTCAATCTTTGCAAAATCATGTGGTCTTCTCTTCACACCTAATGACTAACCTCTGTCTAAGCCATTAATGGGCTGATTCTAATCTCTGTCTCCCTTCCCTTTTCTTCCTGCATCCCGTGTTGTTTGTGGTGGTTTGTGTGGTTGGACTCTCCCCTGGTCAGTATTTTTATTTCCAGGAGGTGTTCCCTGTCTTGGCTGCCAAGCACTGTATCATGCAAGCCAATGCTGAGTACCACCAGTCCATCCTGGCCAAACAGCAGAAGAAATTTGGAGAAGAAATTGCAAGGTTGCAGGTAAGTCTCTTGGTAGTAGATTTTTAAAATGAATTTAAAAAAAATGTGTTTATTTGAAAGGCAGAGTTAGAGACATAAGCGAACATGTACATACACATGTGGGAGAAGAGAAAGAGAGAAGGAGAGAGAGAGAGAGACATATTTACACTCCAAATGGCCACAGTGGCCAAGGTTTGGCCAAGACACAGCCAGGAAGTTCGTCTAGGTTTGCTAGGAGGTTGCAGGGGTCCAAACATTGGGCCGTCTCCCACCACTTCCCCAGGTACGTTAACCGGGAGTTGGATTGGAAGTGGTAGAGCTAGGACTTGAACCAGTTCCCATTTAAGATGCCAGCTCCCGTATGGGATGCTTAATCCCTCACGCCACAATGCTCATCCCAAGACTCAGAGTTTAAATGTGCCTGGTTTGCTTGGATTATGAATAAAGTAATCATTGCTATGGTAACTTAGGTCATTGTATACAAATGCTGCTGATCACAATTTCTGTGGAAAGATGATTTGTTTAGTAAATTCATTATTATTTTTTTCCTTTGGGGGGCCTTGGGGTTATCAGATTGAAGGGATTTACTTAGTGAGAGAAGAGAGTTCTTTTGAAATTTTATACTGATTTTTAAGTACCCTCTGTAAAAAGGAAGCTAATTGAAAGTTACAAGGTGAGAGACAAGGTTATTTTCTGTTGTAGAGGCGTAGTTTGCAGCTCAGCTTTGCAATTTTAATCATACATTAGAAGTTAGCACATAACAGAGACACACTAATCAGTTCTTCTCCAGTGAGCATGAAATATTTTCAGTTTATCTGAGTTCACAAAGAAGCAAACAGGATAATAAAAGCCAAAAAAGAGGCCCACTATCCTATTTTCTGTTGTTTCTCTCTCAGGAGCGAAGGCAGACCTGTCAGTCTGACAAATCATGACGTGATAGGTACGCACCATTGGGGTAGCTTTCTGCTCATTAATTCCAGCGCAAGGAAGTAACTTCCTGTTCACATGCAAACAGAAATCAAAACAGAGTCAGAGAGTCAGGAAAATCAGTGGATAAAATGGAAGTGCAGGTAAAATGATTTATTGGACTGCTCCTGGAGCTAGGAAAAATTAAACTAATTAAAATAATTCATCATCAGTACGTTTTGGATGATGCAGTTGTTTTGGCTATACAAAGTAGGTAGGAGATGCTGGCGGCACAGGGCAGAGGATTATTGCGCTGTGCCACATGTTGGCCCAGGGAAATTTTCTGTGTGAGGAGATACGTGCTGTGAGAGACTTGGTGAGAAGTCATGAAATTTGAACTTTGCTTTCAAATGGTTCTGCAGCAAGAAAAAAATGTACACATTATCTGTAGGTGTGGGAAAGACAGAAAGCCAAGGTAGCAGAATGGCGATGATGGTTAAACCTAGGAAGAGATTATATTGTTACTCATTGTTCTTTCCAATTTTCTTTGTGTGGGATTGAAAAATTGCAAATAAAAATTGGAGCAGCATGTGTACATAGAGAGGTGTACGCTTCCATCCCATCGCTGGCTTTTTTTCTCTGCTGCTCCAGAGATCATTTCCATTAGTTTCTTGTTTAATCCCTTTAAATGTTTTTTTTTTCCATTAAAATACAATTCTATCTTTACACATGGAATACACATTCTTAGCTCCCATTCTTTTTTTTTTTTTGCTCTCCTCATTCTTATCCAAGAGGTAATGCACAATCTATAGTGTTGTACATCTTGTTTTTCTCAGGAAACAATTTCTCTTCCCCTGAGCGTCTCCATTAGAGCACAGCAGTGGACAGGCTGTGCTGGTTTCTGTTTAGGGCTGGACTGAGTACGCTTCGTTGTGTAAACTGCATCTCCTGCCATCTCCTGTTTCCAGGCCCCATCAGTACAGTGACATGGCAGGGGTTAGTCCTGTATGCCTGTGTTTTACACGTCTGCAGATGTCTTGATCAGTTTGGGCTGCCATTCACAAAATACCGTATCACCTAAACAGCAGAAATTCTTGAAGTGCAAGGTCACGGTTGCAGCATAGTCGTGCTCTGGGAAATTTACAGTTGGCCTCTTGCCTCTACTTTCCTGTCGTGGAGGAAGGCGCGGTCTGATCTTTGAAGGGTGCTTCCTCTGTGTCTCCCACATGGGTGCAGGTCCGAAGGCTTTGGGCCGTCCTCGACTGCTTTCCCATTGCACAAGCAGGGAGCTGGATGGGAAGTGGGGCCGCCAGGATTAGAACTGGCGCCCATATGGGATCCCGGAGCATGCAAGGAGAGGACTTTAGCTGCTAGACTTCTGTGCTGGGCCCACCTATTTCATTCTTAAGAACTATAACTCTGCCTTTCAAATAAATGGAAAAATTCTGAAAAAATTGAAATTGTGTCATTCCAATAAACCCAATTCATTGTGAATTAATAGTAGTCACTACCCAATTATGTTGCAAGTCTAGTTTAGCTTTCTGGAGTTCTTGGTGTGTTCACATTAGTAACTAGAGAAGACTTGGTGTTGTACTTGGTTGACCTTTCCCTCCCCAACTGCTGTGTTAGCATTTCTTCATCTTTTCTATTAGTGCATTGTTTTTTCTTTGCTGTGGTCTCTCTACTCCGTTACATTCCTTACATAAACGCCTGTCTTTGTATTGCCCATGAATTGCGTCACCTTCTTCCCTGGGCGCTCTCTCCTCTTGGTCTCTTGTTGTCGTCCAGTGTTGTCCCTTCCACCTGCTCCCGGGCTGGTACTTTGTGTTCCTTTGAGACTGCGATTGTGTTCGTAGGTTGTAGTTGATTTCCATTTTCAGACATGCTGTGCCATCTGAAGTTGCCTTGGCAGGCGGGGTCAGAACCAAATGGTTCTGTCTGTGGTCTTTGGGTTGGGCTGAGCATTCCCCCAACCTTGGAGAGTTGGACTGCTCCTCTCCACAGAGGTAGACAGCGTGTCTTTTCAGTTGCCTGTGTTTGCTGGCAGGTTTCCCTGGAGACCCCTGGGTGAGGGGAATCGGACCCGGCCATCATTGTGTCAGGCCTTTTCCTCGCGGTCTTTACTTATTTATTCATTCACTTTAATTAGACTATTTTTAAAATTATTATTTTGTGATACAGTTACATAGACTCTGGCATTTCCCCTCTCTCCCTCCTGGAGTCCCTTGTCCCCACAGCTTCCTCTCTGTTTTCACAATGCATAGTGCTTCATGAACAGTCGTAAGCCCCTCATTCTTCCATTTAAATGTGTCCTGATGTTGCAGGTATGGACAATGGCAGAGAATCCAGCATCCCATTGTCAAGATCTATTTAACAGTTTGTACAGTAGCACTGGCTGCCTCAAGAAGGCTTTTTATTTTCTTTTTCGTTTCTTTAGCAACACATAAGTGATTTCTGTAGCAAGTTATTTAACTTCCTATTGTTGTAAATTTTCCATCTTTCATCCTGTTGTTGACTTTGTTTTTAGGCTTTGTATTTAAAGGGATATTTAGTAACTGTGTAAAAGATACTGCCATTTCCAGATTTGAGGACACAGTGCAGCATGCGTCTCTACTTCCGGATCAAAGATGCATTTACTTTTTTTTTTTTTTTTTAAAGATTTATTATTTTTATTATTTTTTCATTGGAAAGGCAGATATACAGAGAGGAGAGACAGAGAGGAAGATCTTCCGTCCGATGATTCACTACCCAAGTGAGCGCAACGGGCCGATACTATGCGGATCCGAAGCCAGAAGCCTCTTCCGGGTCTCCCACAGGGTGCAGGTTCCCAAAGCTTTGGGCCGTCCTCGACTGCTTTCCCAGGCCACAGGCAGGGAGCTGGAAGGGAAGCGGGGCTGCCAGGATTAGAACCGGCGCCCATATGGGATCCTGGGCGTGCAAGGCGAGGACCTTTAACCACTTGCGCCACCGCGCCGGGCCCAAGATGCATTTACTTTTACGTGGCATTTTCTGAGTGATCACTTCCTTTGATTTTGTCTTTAAAAAAAATCTTTTTTTCAAGACCCTCATTTATTTTGTTTTATTAGAAAGCTTTACACATAGAGAAGGAGAGAAAGAATTTCCCACCTGCTGGCTCACTGCTCCGATTGCTGCAGTGGCCAGAATTGGACCATGCCAAAGCTGGGTACCAGGGGCTTCCTCCTAGTCTCCTACATGGGTACAGGGGCCCAAGCACCTGGGCCATCCTCAGCTGCTTTGCACAGGCCGTTAGCAGGGAGCTGGTTGGAGTGGAGCAGCCAGGATGCAAACTGCCCGTGTGGAATGCTGATGCTGGCAGTGCTGGCATTAGCGACAGCACCAGCCCCTCTTTCCCTCCCCATCTGGGCATTGTGCTCCTGCACTCCACAGACGACGTTCCTCAGCGCTCCGTGTTTGCTGTGACCTCGTGGTGGTTTGACACAGGGCAGTCGGCCTAGCCTTTATCTAATTGGGGCAGGTATTCCCTCATCTTGTTGTACTGTTTCCACTCAGGCTGGTGCCCTCAGTTCTAGCCCTCCATCCCAGCTCTTTCCCCCAGGTTCGCATCAGACGTCAGGCTGGCTTCTAGTACAGGTTTTGCTGTTCTGAGCAGTATTTTAGAAATCTACAGATCCAACTTGAATTATAAGAATTTATTCCTGGACTTTTTTTTTTTTTTAAGATTTATTTATTTTTATTGGAAAGTCAGATATACAAAGAGGAAGATCTTTCGTCCTACGATTCACTTCCCAAGTGAGCGCAACTGCCGATGCTATGCCGATCCGAAGCCAGGATCCAGGAATCTCTTCCAGGTCTCCCACGCGGGTGCAGGGTCCCAAAGCTTTGGGCCGTCCTCGACTGCTTTCCCAGGCCACAGGCAGGGAGCTGTATGGGAAGTGGAGCTGCCGGGATTAGAACCGGTACCCATATGGGATCCCAGCACGTTCAAGGCAAGGACTTTAGCCACTAGGCCACACTGCTGGGCCCAAGTCCTGGACGTTTTGACTTATTTCAAGGTGGTGTTTTCTGTATTTGCTTTCTTGATTTTTTTTTTTTTTATTTCCTCAGATATGTCTTATTATCTTAGGTTTTCCCATGGACAATGGATTTTTCCATCCTTTTTTCTAAATATTGTACTTTCAATTTGCATTTCATTTTTTCAGTATGTCTAATTGTAACAGTGATGGTCTTTGGTTTCTGATTCTGGGAATGTTTATTGTTTTTCTGTGAAACATGACTGAGCTTAAGGGGTTAAAGTTTTACCATTTGTGTATTTCTATTTTACTAATATAAAAATCAAGAATATTGAATTTATTGAATGTTTTTTCAGGATCTAGGCAGATTTTGAATTTTTTAAACTATTAATTTGGGTTTTAATTTGAGTTACATAGCACATTTTTCAGTTTTAAGTAATTTTCATATTCTCTTTATTGTTGCTTTAGACTTCCTTTATGTCCTCATCTGGCTATTTTATATAGATAAATCCTATATGTATTTTAAAATTGTAATCAGTTAAACTTACTATGTTTAAACCTTGTATAATCTTATTGATTTTACCAATTTTTTTGTTCACTTGATCCAGTAATAACTGAGACAAGCATTAAAATCTACTTTGAAAAAGATGGGTAATTCATTCCTCATTACAGTTAGTCCCACTTAGAGACTAAATGCAAAATTTAGCAAGTTTTGTCTGTGGCATATTGGCAAATGTCAAAACATAAAATACTGAATTTATCCCTAACAGCCCTTTTGAATTCAGTGTCTACTTTGTTTTGCCAAGCTTACACAAATCGCCTTGTTGATGCTGAGGTGCTGTTTTACGTTGTTGACTTGCCACACTGCTGGGTGATGTGTTTCTGAGCACCCTTTTGTGGAGGGCATCGCCTTTGAGGTGTCGGCCTTCTCATGCCAGGGTGAAGGAGGGCATCCCGCTATTCCGCTTCAAAACGATTCTGTGCTTTCATTGTTAGTTGTGTGGAGTGTGGAATAATCTGGAAACCACTTTGCTCCGTGTCAGCATCCGCTCAATGGCCGCAGATTTGTTTTACTACCTTGGGGGGGAACTCGTGTTTAAAGGAGGGAGATTGGCTGTGTATTTTCCTTCATGTCTTGTGGATGTTGTGATGGGAGAATTTCCAGTTTATCCTGTCAGCCATAATACTGGATATGTAGATCATCAGCGTAAAGATTTTCTGATGAAGAAAGAGAAAAAAATGTTTTTCTTTTTCGTTTTCATCTTTAGCATGCAGCGGAACTGATCAAGACAGTGGCATCTCGCTATGATGAGTATGTGAGTGTAAAGGATTTTTCTGACAAAATCAACCGTGCCCTGACTGCAGCGAAGAAGGATAATGACTTCATCTATCATGACCGGGTGCCAGACCTTAAAGATCTAGATCCCATCGGCAAAGCCACGCTTGTGAAGCCTACGCCCGTCAGTGTGCCTATCAGCCAGAAATTCACCGGTATGTCCCTTGTTAAGGTGCACTTGCGATTGTCTGCTGAACAGCCTCAGCTGCCTTCTAGCTAAGAACACACACTAGTTATCCTGTGCTCTGAGTATGCTTTCCATTCTTGTTACTTAAAATGAGTGTGACAATACCAAGTGTTGTTCCTTCTGTGCAGTTCGCACATAGAAAGTGATTGGGCATATGAAAAATCTACAAGAGAGAAAACTTGGAAACTGGTTCAGTTATGATCAAGGTTTTATTTTTAAAAGATTTTATTTATTTATTTGAAATTCAGAATTACATATGGGAGGGACATACAGAGAGGCCTTGCATCTACTGGTTCATTCCCCAGATGGCTGCATTTTCCAAGGTGAGGCCGGGAGATAGCTAGGCGTCAGAAGGTTCATTCAGATCTTCCGTGTGGGTAGAAGGGATCCGAACACTTGGGCCATTTTTCTCTGATTTGCCCAGGCTGTTAACAGGGAACTGGATCAGAAGTAGAACAGCTGGGATTTGAACTGGCACACACATGGGATGCCAGCATCGCAGGCAGTGGCTTTATCCACTGTACCCCGATCAAGACTTTAAAGAAGCACTTGGCATTGTAACATTTGGTGTATTATTTGAAGATTGACTTAATTGAAAGAGCAAGAATGAAACATACACACGTCTCTGTTCTGCTGGGTCATTCCCCAAGTTGCCTCGAGCCAGGGGTGGGCCGGGCTGAAGAGTGAGGAACTGCATCCTCATCTCCAATTGGTGGCAGGGCAAGTGCTTGAGCCGTGGTCTGCTGCCTTTCCAGGCTCCTTAGCAGGAAGCCGGATTGGAAGCAGGGCAGCTAGGACTTAAATCACTTCACTGTGGGATGTCAGCTTTGCAAGTGGCAGCGTTCCGTTATTTAAGATGTTGTCATTAGAAATAAATGCACACAGATATTTCTTTACACATGCAAACTTCCGGAGTTGTGCATGTAACAAGTAAATGATTGTTCAGGTACCCTTGGATATCATAGATAGGAGCAGTGTGTGATAGCTTGTAGCTGAGACGTCGAGGATAGCATTCTGGCTTGTTGCGAAAGGGGGATCGTTTTAACTGCTGCTTATTTAGCAAAAATGAGAGTGTTGACCATGTGCCCGTGACTCTTAGAGCATTTTCCAAATATTATGTGGGTTTCTTTGTCACAGAAGCCCTGGTAAGATGGGTTATTTTCCTGTTTGAAGAGAACACAGGTGGCACAAAGTGGTTAAGGAATTTGCCCAGGTTTGCAGGTTAGCAAATGGTGGGGCCAGAAATTGAATCTGTGCACTGTGGCGTGCTTAGTTTAATCTGCAAATGAACAGTGTCCCTAAAAACCCATCATATTTAAGGAAAGACATCTCGAAAAGTTAATGAAGTTCCAGGAGCATTTTTCAGTGTTGCTGTAGATCTCGTTGTTGAAGAATTCTCAGCAGGTGCTTTCAATAGTGATTTTAGTGTTGCCCTTTAAATATTTGTGGACTGTGAGTAATGGAAAGAAGAGAGGAAGTTACTTTTACAGTTTGAATTTTGTCTTAAACCTTTGTTTCTAATGTTAGATCTGTTTGAGAAGATGGTTCCTGTTTCGGTGCAGCAGTCTCTGGCTGCCTACAACCAGAGGAAGGCTGATTTGGTTAACAGATCAATTGCTCAAATGAGAGAAGCCACAACTTTGGCAAATGGGTATGTAGCGCTTAACTTCGGGGAATTGGTCTGTAAGATTTGGTTGTTCTTTGAGTAGCTCGTGGACATTTTAGTTTCCTCCTGTTGAGATGAAATACCATGGACAAAGAAACAGTAGATACAGCTATGTACATGCTTCTTAGGGGAGTTGTATTTGTGAAGCCCTAGGAAGTACATCAAGACACTTATTTACAGAAACGAGGGGGGGATGTTTGATTACTAGTATATTTATTTATGTATAAAGGTTTCAAATTTTTGTTTTCATTTTTGTCTTACAGACAGGTGGGGGGAGGGGAGGGAGAAAGGGAAGAAGAGTGAGTGAGTGATGAGAGAAGGCGGATGTTCCACTATCCAGTTCCTTCCTGTCTGCAGTAGCCAGGGCCAGGCCAGGTGAGGCCAGAAGCCAGAAACTCCATGCAGGTGTCAGGTATCAACTCTCTGAGCCACAAGCTGCTGCCCTCTGGGTGAACATTCATGGGCAGTTGGAGTCGGAAGTAGAGGTAGCACTTGAGCCAGGTGATCTGCTAAGAAATGCTGCTATTCCAAGTCATATCTTAACCGTTCCCACATGCCCTCCCTGCTAGTTTGAGGGAAATGATAAACAGAAATAAAGCTTTTGTGTCTGAAATGGATCAGTATTGTGTGCATTAGCTTGATGGATTTTATTGCTGAACACTGTTCTGTTTTAGGGCCTCACAGCAGTTTGCTCATCCTTGTACCAGTTGTTAAGTTTTGGTGGCCGTGTGTATTTATGCACAGGTCTCGTGTGGACATGTTATTCTTTTAGGTGGCGACCTAGTTGTAGAATTGCTAGCGTCTGTGGTTAGTGTACCTTCAACTATTTTTGACATTGCCAATTGTTTTCCAAAGTGGTTGTTCAATTTTATATTCCTGCCTGTACCACTGAGAAACATAGTTGCTCTGCACCCTTGCCAACCCTTGGTACTGTCAATCTTTTTAGTTTTAGCATTTGTGCATGCGTGTGAGTTTTGTGTATGTGTGTGATTTAATTTGCATTTCTCTGATTGTTCATGTGGATCAACTTTTCAAGTGTTTATTAGCTGTTCGTGCATCTTGTGGAGCCTGCTCTTCCTCCTAGCTGTCTTGAAGGAGTTCTCTGTGTCTTGGGAGCAGCTCCTTTACCAGATATGTGAAACTCAGACTATTTTCTCCTGCTCTGACTTCTCATGTTTTCTAATTTTGATGAATGCATGGATTCTGACTTTTTTTCTTTGACTAGCAAGGCAGCAGCAAAAGTTTTATCTTGCCTCTGGCGAGACAGTTCGAGTTTCTGCAGAGCTTGTTTCCCGAGGAGTTCATTCCATTACGTCATTTCCTTTGCCTTTTTGTTCTTATATTAAGACAGGGATCAATGTCTCCCAAGCCCAATGTCTAAATTAATGGAGTCATTATTATACTAGGAAACTGGGAACAGATAAACATTATGTAAATAATAATTTTTTTTTTTTTTAGCTATAGTTGCAGAGATAGAACAAGTAAGTGAGCTTCCAGCTGCCAGTTCACTCCCCACATGGCTGCAATGGCTAGAGCTGGGTCAGTCTGAGGCCAAGAGCCAGGAACTGGGTGGGGTGCGGGGGCCCACGCTTTTGGGGTATCCCCTGCTGCTTTCCTTGGCCATTAGCAGAGAATTGGACTGCAAGTGGAGCAGCTGGAGCACAAACCAGGACTCATGGAATGCTGGCACCGTAGGTAGAGGCTTTGCTTGGATGCTATAGCTCCAGCCCCAGAGAAAGAAATTTCAAAGATAGACCTTTCACTTGTAATTAAGCTAAAAGAAGCTTAGGTGTACAACTGGAGATACCTGGTCTATTTTACTATTGTTATTAGTTTTTCTTTTGGCTTTTAATTCTGAGCTGTGAACTCCATTTAATTCTTTATCAAGTCTGTTTTTACTTTATCAGTCACTTACCTGTATTTTTCTGTTGACTGGTGTTCACAGCATTGCTATAAATTTCAGATCGGTTTAGACTTTTTGATGACGTAGACTGTGTCATGTTTTTCAGTGTATTGGCTTCACTGAATCTTCCAGCAGCAATTGAAGACGTGTCTGGAGACACTGTGCCTCAGTCTATACTGACTAAGTCCACATCTGTGATTGAGCAGGGAGGCATCCAGACCGTTGATAAGCTGATCAGAGAACTGCCTGAGCTACTGCAAAGAAATAGAGAAATCCTAGACGAGGTATGGTTTGTATTTTTACGTTTCAGTTAGAAACTGGCCCGTCGTGTTCCGCAGGGGCAGGGGCTGTCATCTTGCTCCTGCTGGATGTCTTAGGCTCGTTTTTCTCACCTTTGGTAGATTGGCTCTGCCCTTTGCCTGCTCTGCTGCCTCAAGAATTCTAGTTGAATAGATAATGGGTTCAAGCATGCTAGATAAATGAGCATTAATAAATCATTTGACCTTTGTGTAATGCTAATATGCTAAGAGAAATTAGTACCGCCGAGCTGTTCAGAATCTTCATGGTCCTTGCCCAGTTGAGGTTTCTTGGTGAACATGGATACTGACAAGGACATCACGTCACCACCAGTGTTACAAATCGGCTTCATCCGTCCTGCAGTGTGAATAGCATTACTGGTAGATATGAGACACTTTAAGGAACTTTTTTGGCTAAAATCAGTTTTTTGGTATTGTAACTCTCTGTTCCCTAATTGATACATCTTTTTCTTTAGTAATAAATTCAGACAGTTTATAAATTATTTCTAAGAAATTTGGGGCAAGGATGAGTACCCAAGTACTAGTGATGTTGGGAGTCATGTAGATGAGAATATTTACCTCCCAGAGTTAAAGAATTAAACTAAAACAGCAAGTTGGCTGGCATTTACAGCATGGGATATGCTCCATAAGTTATGGATGTTATTACTATAATATTGGCCAAGGATAGCTGCTGCTGCTGAAAAGGCTCCCATTAATTATACAGGGAACATTTACCAACCTTCCTGGGTCTACACTTATTTTTGTTGGACACAGAATAGAAAAACTACAACAAACATGCCCTCAGCAGCCCACACTCCAACATTTTCCCTAACACCCTTCCCTGGTACATGTGCAGCCCTGCCTCTGCCCAGCAGTGCTCAGCTTGTCTGGGGGCTGGGGTGGTGTGTCCTGGCCCAATGTCCCCTGCCCCACTCTGTGTGCTGGTGGGCAGCTTTCCCTGCATATCTTTAAGAAACAAAAATTGAACAGGCACCTGTGCTGGCACAGCACTGTAGTTAATAGATTTGCCCTTAACCAGGCCCAGAACACCTGCCAGCTCCTGGCTGCTTTTCTCCCAGCACAGTAACAGTTGCCTAGGTACGAGAGAGACAACCGAGGCATTGCCTACAGCTGGGGGTTCTAAAAATTGGTAACTTAAACCCTTATGATGTGAAATGTTTATTTTCTTTTCGGTTGAGTGTGCTTGTATGTTTGAGGTTAGGGGTACACCTGCGCTTTTGTGCAGGTATTTATGGTGTTGTTATTTAGTTCAGACCTCAGAGGAGATGCCTTGTGCTTTTTTTTTTTGGAAAAGAAAAAGTACCTAATGAGAATTGCCTTGGTACTTTGGGAAAAAAAAAGCGCTATCCTTTGTTTATATACTTAATTATCTCCTCCTTCCTGTTCTTTCCTCCTGTCTTATTGCTCTCACCCTTCTCTGCTTTCTTATACCCCCTTTTTTTTTTCATTTTTGGTGGTTAATGTTTTAACTACAGTTCATTCCAGAACAGTGTGTGACACAGCCAGTGTAATTTATAGTCCCAAGTTCAGGTTTAAGGTTAGGAATCTCAGGTGGTAATTTTTTCTATTTATAGCCCAAGTCCAAATAGGTTAGTCTCTTTCTGTAGGGCAGTTCTTCTTTTTAAAAAGTAATCCACTGGTTTGGGAGCGACCCCATTGAGGAGAAGAATGCCTGGGAATTCTCCCAATTAATGGGCCCTTATGTTTATTGCTCATTTCTTTTTTTTTTTTTTTTTTTTCAATTTATTTGCTTAGATTTATTTCATTTTTATTTCATAGCTTTCTTTATTATCATTTTATGATATAGTTCCACAGGCTCTGGGATTCCCCACACCCCCTCCAAAGTACCCCTACATTATTACTATACTCCAGTTCTTTATAAACAGTCTATGTCCATCATTAAGGGCATGGACAATGACAGAGTCCAGCTTCCTATTATCAAGTTTCACCTAGAGTCCATTTCTGGTCTGGAAGTAGAAATGCATAACGCATTGTATTCTCACATTCCCTTAAATGAAAAATTACAATACAAAATCAGCAACAGGAAGAAAAAGAGAAATATACAATGCCATGAAGTTAAATAACATGCTACTAGATATAAGAGTCTTTATTACTATACATCCCCTTAAAAGCCACAAAAACAGGAAAAAATTAACAATGCCATGAAGTTAAATAACATGCTAAATAATGTGTCACTGAGGAAAATCAAGAACCTTCTTGAAGAAAATGATGCTACTGTATTATCTACTTGAAGACATTAAACTTAAAAAAAAAAAAATCAAAATCCATGATACAGTTCCCACTAATCTTTGTTGGTGAGATGTCTCCTGTAGGCAATAGATGGGTTTTGTTTTTTTAAAAAAAATCCAGTTCACATTATGGGTCGCTCCAACTAGGTTGCAGCTCCCACTGGTTTATGTGAGGGCCAAGTGTGTGCTGGGCAGAATCAAGCTGGACTGCAACACCCATTGAGTAGAAGATGCGGCTGCAAACAGAACTGACCCAGCAATCGCAACCACCAGCTAATTGGGGGATGGACTGTACCAGGCCCCGTACTTGCAAGCACACAAGAACCTGGTCTGGGTTCACCTCAATTGAACTGCCAGACTCAGATCCCCAACCATGAAAAGACAAGAGGACAAATCAATAAACCACTCCAGCCATATGTTGGCAGTGAAAAACAGGATAAATGGAGACTCCAAGATAGACAAGATATGTCAACCAGTGGATTCTGCAGCAATTTCTTTGTGCTTGGAATGGCGAAATTGACAGCAATTCAAAATGTTGAACTATCAAAACCACTTGAGCAAGACCCTTGGAGCGTGCCCAACATTGGGGCCCTAAGATGGGAGGGAAACTGGGTGGGGCTTCTCCCTTTACCTCCCTTTTCACCCCAGATATTGGGGAAAAAAATGTGGAAATGATCGTCTTTCCCACTTTCCTATAGCCCTTAAACCCTTGTGCCCTAATTAACTGTGTAAAGATTGTCAAAAATAAAATTTTTAAAACGGGAAAAAATCCAATTCGCTAATCTATAACATTTCATTGATGAGTTTAACCCATTTACATTCAAGGTTAATATGAATGGGTAGTAATTTGGTCCTGTCATTTTAGCAATGGGTTGTTCATTGGTTTAGTCTTCTGTTGTCATTTTACTGGGATGTTCTTCCCATTTGCCTTTGGTTTTGGTAGGTGCTATTCCTCTTCTCTGTCAAGAGAACATCTTGAAGTATCATTTGTAGGGCAGGTTTGGAAGAGGCAAATTCTTTTAACTTTTCTTTACTGTGGAAGAATTTTATTTCATTTTCAAAGACAAAAGAAAGCTTTGCTGGGTATGTTATCCTGGGCCGACAATTTTTTGCTTTTAGAATCTGAAATATGTCACTCCATTCTCTTCTTGCTTGTAGAGTTTCCTGTGAGAAGTCTCCTGTGAGCTTAATTGGCAATCCTTTATATGTCAGTTGATTTTTTTCACGTGCACATCTAAGGATCTTTTCCCTATGTTCAGTTGAAGAGAGCTTGATAATCATGTGTCTTGGTGAAGATCGCTTTGGGTCAAGCCTGTGGGGAGTTCTGTATCCCTCCTGGATCTTGTTTCCAAATTCTATCTCTAGATTAGGGAAATTTTTCCTTAGTATTTCATTGAACACACCCTTAACCCCAGCTTCTCTTTCTGCACCTTCTGGGATTCCCATAACTCTTATATTTGGCCTCTTAATAGTGTCTTTCAATTCTTGAATCCTTTTTTGGGTCTGATCCAGCTCTGCTTCCAGCTTTTTTCTTTTTTCCCTCTGGTGACAGGAATTGTCTTCTAATGTTGAGATTCTTTCTTCTGCCTCCTTCATTCTATTTTGGAGACTCCCCACTGTACTTTCAATTTGCTCCACTCTATTCTTCATTTCTGATGTATCATCAGCCTTCATTTGCTTCACTGCCGTTACTTGCTGTGTAATACATTCCCTGAATTCCTCGAGTACCTGATTCATGTACTTCTCATAATTGATAAGTAGCTTTATAAGAAGCACTTTCAATTCTTTATCTCCCATTTTCTCGATGTCTTCCTCACTAAACTTTAAGGTTTGCAAAGGGTTTTGCTGCTTTGCAGGGGAGTCTTCAGTAACATTCATTGTGCCACTGTTTCTTTTGCCCTTGGTCATTGTGCTTCTGGTTATCAGATTCTTTTTGGGATAGGTTTCTAAGCTGTGTTACCCACAGATCTACAGTTCAATTTTACTTATTGCAGTTGGTACCTGGTACTTTCTTTGCAGTCACTTGTACCACTCCCTTGATACTGATCTTGTCAGAACCTGTTGGCTGTTAGGTCTGAGGGCCACACAGATCTATTTTGATCTGTACAATGCCAAAGTCAGTATTGTTTCCCTGTGGGACACTGCAATGCACTGAGCTCAGCGAGTCTGTTCCCAGCTCAGCACATGTGTAGCTCACTGTTTTCCCCACACGTACAAAATGACACCCAATTTGGCTGTAGGGGATGGACTGGGCTGTTAAATTGATCCTGTTCCCTGCACTGCCTGTCTGGCACCTGCTGCTCTGTCTCTGCTCTTGGTCAAATCAAACAGACCAGCAGGATTGGACAGTTCTTTGAGTTGAGCTCCTGAGCTCCCGGTAAACGTCCCTTCCCACCTTGGTGCTGGTGGAGTTCCGGCTGCCAGTGGAGTTTAGATCGTGGCTCGCTGAATGCCACTGGGGTATCGGTCACTGCAACACCACACGGTTGTGTCTGCTGCTTTCCTGTGTCTATCAGTGAATGTATTCAAAGTTACAGGATCATAAGGATGTAGATATGGTCAGCCTTGGAAGCTGCTCAGTTAGGCAGGTTTCGTGAGCCGAAAACACCAGATGCAAAAGTATCTTTGGAGGTTTATTCCAGCGGCGCAGGAACGGGATAGAAGTGGTGGGAGATCAACGCGGAAAAGAGGAAGGTTGAGGAAGCGGGAAGGCCGGAAAGAGGGAGCTATTGCTCATTTCTTAAAAAATGTTTTGCCCCCTCAGGCAATGAATTCATATTCCAAACCTAAGGCTATCTACATAGGAGGCAAGCTGCCTTTGGAGGGCCAGTTTCATCTGGTGGCCTGCTTTTGTGTGGGTCTCCCCATTGTCACAGGGTTGTTAGAAGTGTAGACAGGGACTGGATTCACCTCACTGCAGTGCTCTGTGGTGCTTGGCAAGTTTGCTCTCTTCTGTGCTTTGTGTCCCCTCAGCCGTGCATTAAGGCAATTTTAGTATGTTGAATGTAATTGCAGTTGTACTGGAATAGAAGTCTAAAGTTTTAATGTTTCATAGTTCATAGTTTTGTTTATGCCTTCTGAAGTTGAAAGATTTTGTTTACAGTTTTGTTTATTTAACAAAACAATTTTTTTATTGACAGTTTTTGTTTATTTTAAGGTAATCTTATCAGTCCCAGCACAGTAGCCTAGTGGTTAAAGTCCTTGCCTTGCACACAATAGGATCCCATATGGGTGCCAGTGTGTGTCCTAACAGTCCTGCTTCCCATCCAGCTCCCTGCTTGTGGCCTGGGAAAGCAGTAGAGGACAGTCCAAAGCCTTGGGACCCTGCACCCACATGGGAGACCTGGAAAAGGCGCCTGGCTTCGAATCTAGCTCAGCTGTGGCCATTGTGGCTACTCGGGGAGTGAATCAGCAGACAGAGGATCTTTCTGTTTGACTTTTCCTCCTCCTCTCTGTGTATCTGACTTCCAGTAAAAATAAATAGATCTTAAAAAGTTTAATCTTAATATTTTAGATGTAAAATTTCTTATTCTTCCGTTTTATTCTATTGAGATGGGTAATGATTCATTCAAACTTAAATTTGGTAACATTTTGTTAAATATGTTGTAACAAGTTTTCTGTTACCAGTTTATATTCTACTCAATGGTAGTGTAGGATTCTTTCCATCTTGCTACATTTTCACCCATATTGGGCCTGATTTGTTTTTAAATGTTTTAAATCTTTAAGGCCAGAAATGGTAACTTAGTGTTGTTTTATCTGCTTTTCAAGTCATTAAGACTACTGGACGAAGAAGAGGCAACAGACAAGGATTTGAGAGCCAAGTTCAAGGAGCGCTGGCAGAGGACACCGTCCAGTGAGCTCTATAAGCCTTTGAGAGCGGGTAAGCGTGCTGCCAGTGGCTCCCTCAAGCAGCTTCCCAACTTGAATTGACATTGTGTGTAATTAACCCAACTATAAGCTTGTTTTTACTGAAACTGTTCTGTAATGAAATCCCAAATATTTTGCCTAGTTTAGTGCTCAGTGGAAAAGTAACCAAAAAAAGTTATCTATGCTTATTTGAAGAAGTTTAAGTTCTTAAGAAAGGTGTAAAGTGAAAATTAAAATGAGCCTTTTGTTTATTTTGAAGCCATTTATTTATTTATTTTGAAGGAGTTAGAGAAATGGGAGGAGAGGGAGAGAAAGAGGGCGATCGAGGGAGAGTGTCGGGGAGAGCCATCTTCCGTCTGGGGGTTCACTGCTCACTGGCAGTGGCCAGCCCTGGGCCGTCGATGGCGGAGCAAGTTCAGCCAGGTCTGCCCCAGCAGCTGGGCCGTCTCCTGCTGCTTTCACAGGCTGCTGATGGAGAGCTGGGTTGGAAATGGAATAGCAGGGTCTGAACCGGTGCCTATGTGGGGTGCCAGCCTTGCAGGCAGTGGCTTTATGTGCTGTGCAACAATCCAGCCGCGCAAAATGATGTTTTAACTCTGATCTACTGTTCCAACCCTGTGTGTGTTTTAAGGATAAATAGGACCATATTATCTGTTTGATTTTTACAATTTATTTCTACTGATGACTAAAAAGGAGCGTAAGCAGTTACTTTGAAGCCATATTCATGTTTTTAAATACTTTTGTGCTTATGGAGGTATTGTTTTCATAGTGGCTGGAGACTTGATTTTTTTGAAGAGCTACTTGCTTTTGAGGTAGCTGGTGCTCTTTTAAGTCGTATTGGACCTTTAAGAGTGGGATACATTTTTTAAGGTTTGTGGATATTTAGAGAATGTTTTCTTTCTGTATTCGTGAGTTACAGGAAATGATTAGAGTAGCATCAGTTTGCTTGTATTTGGCAGCAATAACTGTCAAATGTATTTTAAGGTATAGTTATATGCCTTTGGGTTTTATAAATATAAAGTATAGCTTTGGGTTTTTATAAATGATTTTGTCATTTTTGCAGAAAAAAAATTGTAGTGAGTGACAGGAGCAGAGGTTTTATTATCGAGTGAATTGGGGATTATAAGAAGGCAAAATAAGTAAAGTTAGGGGCCCAAACTAGGGGCATAGCCATCGTATTATCATGAGAACATTACTGTGCTGTGATATGCTGTGGTGTGATCTATAATACAGTACCCTGAGGTCCTTACTGTGCCCTGGGCATGTCCTTTTTCCGCAGAGGGAAACAACTTCCGAGCCGTGTTAGATAAAGCTGTGCAAGCTGACGGACAGGTGAAAGAACGCTACCAGGCTCACCGCGACACCATCGCACTCCTGTGTAAGCCGGAGCCCGAGCTGAACGCTGCCATTCCTTCCGCCAACCCGGCAAAGACCATGCAGGGCAGCGAGGTGAGCAGGTGCATTCTGACATGTGGAAACTGATGTGATATATAGTGGACTGTCAGTTTATGTATAATTTATCTGAAAGACAGAGAGATGGAAACAGATGGATTGAGATTTTCCATTCGCTGGTTCTCTCCCCAAATACCAAATGAGCTCGGGTCTGGGCAGGTCCAGATCAGAAACACGGAGCTTGACCCGTGTCCCCCTGGTTGGCAGAGACCTAGGCACTGGGCTGTCCCCCACTGCCTCCTGGGTGTCCATCCACCGGAAACTGTGTGACAGTGGAGCGTGCACTTGAACAAGGCACCCTGGGACAGCGTGCTGGCCTGCCAGATGATATCTTTATGTGCCACACGGACTCCCCTGAATTGCCGTTTTCTTATTGTCTTCTTAAAAAACAATGCAGAAATAAATTGATGTTTTTATCCTGAAACAGTGTATGTGCACACACAGTGTATTAGGTAATTATACCAATATTAATATGCTGTAATAATATTTATTGAATATCTTTTATAAGCTGGGTAATAACTACTAAGTATTTCATATGTTCACAGCGTTTGAATTAGGTTTTATAAAAAAGGAGAGGCTTGGAAGTATAGAAACTTCCTTGGCCTGAAAGGACTGGATTTGACCAATACTTTCCTGACCACAAATTCTTTCTTACATCAGTTTTTTTTTTAGAGATTTATTTTTATTGGAAAATCAGATTTACAAAGAGAAGGAGAGACAGACAGGGAGATCTTCCATCTTCTTGTTCACTCCTCAAGTGGCTGCAATGGCCAGAGCTGAGCCCATTCGATGCCAGCTGCCTTTCTTGGTCTCTCCTGTTGGGTTCAGGGTCCCAAGGCTTTTGGGCCATCCTTGACTGCTTTCCTAGTCCACAAGAAGGGAGCTGGAGGTGGAGCAGCTGGGACACGAACTTGTGCCCGTATGGGATCCTGATGCATGCAAGGCAAGGACTTTAGCCACTAGGCTACTGTGCACTGGGCCCTCTTGCATCATTTTTTTATTGCTTTTTCTCATACTCCACCGGGCCTACCTCTGAAGACATAATAGATAAGGTATACATGTTAATAAGTGGGTACATCATCTTGGAATTTCTCATGATATAAAGAAGGAGAAAATTAGTGGTATCTTATTGTGAAAGTTTGAAAAGAGGGAAAGTACAGGTGTAATTCAGCGACTGATGGCTGTGAGGTAGGGTACCGCAGTGCAGTAAGACAGGGGATCCAAAGCTCACGGAGAAAAAATGCTGAAAATCTTGAAAGGGGCAAGGGGCGTATCTTTTTCCAGTGAACACGAAGATCCCCGGAAACCAGTAGATCTCCAAATGCGGCTTCTACTCTGGATTTTCTTTACAGAAAGCTTACAGACACGTGTTGGGGGCGTTCAACCATTGAGTCATTTGTTCAGCAGATGCTGGAATGGCGCCGAGCACCCTGGTCCCCTGGGTTAGCTTTGTTCTGGGATGAATAGCTCAGGTCCCTGCCTTCCTGTTGCCGCACAAATACCTCATGAGCTCCTCTGCAAAGTAAAACTGAACATTTCGTTGAGTGACGCGAACTCGGGGTTCTGGGTAAACCTGGGACTGAGTCCTGCCTTTCCTTCCGACTTGACGTCACTGTGTGGCCCCCACGTGCTTCCTGGCTCCCGCTTCCACCCCGGGGCAGCCCTGGCTTCTGCAGTCCTTGTGGGAGCCACTCACCTGGCCTTTCTCCATCTCTCTGCCATCCAGCCTCTCAAAGTCAATCAAAATAAACCTTTTAAAAGCTGGTCCTGGAGAGCCATTCTGAAATGGCTCAGTCTGTTGGTGCTGCTAGCTGCTACCCAAGCAGCAATTTGTGGCCTGTGGGCTCGTCCAGCCTGTCTCTTGTTCTGTGTGACCTATGAACTAAAAATAGTTTTTGCATTTTTAAGTGACTGAAAAAAACTCGATAGAATTGTGCTCTATGATGGATGGAGATTATGTGAAAATCAAATTTCACGTGTCCTTGGAATCGGTTTTGGGACACGGCCACACTCACACATCTGCATGTTGTCTGTGCCGGCCTTTCATACCACAAGGGCAGAGTAGAGTGCAATGGAGACTGTGCCCAGGAAGTGCATTGGCTCCTGATGTCATTCTCATTGCCTCGTGCTTCCTGTCAGTCTTGCATTACACGCTTTTTCCATGTGTTAGAATCATGTTAGTGTCTACTGCCCACAGCCTCCTTCCCAACTCTTTCATACTCTCTTCCTTCCTTTTCTCCGCCTCTTTATTTTGATTCTGTTAAGCTGTGACACGTAGGAAGTAGGGGTTGTAAGCAGAAGCCAGCAGGGAGGTTCACTGCAGCTCAGAGGGGCTCAGGTCTTTGGTCTTCGCCAGGGAGTGGAGCTTCCTATGGACCGAGGCAGGGAGGAGCAGGACTGAGATGGCAGAAACAGGTGGGTCAGCCGAGGATGCGCTGGAGTTGTGGCCGGTGAGAAGGCGTTCGTGGATGTCCCCTTGTTTGTCTGCCTTCTTTTCTGTGCATGTGACTGGGATGAGCAGAATGGGAGAGTTGAGATTGGTGTTCTTGGTGATTCTAGCAGAGCGTGACAGGGTGTGAGTGAGAGCAGCCGCTTGGAAGGAGCATAATGGTTCGGAATCACCTCCCTGGTGAGGTTCACTGGTCCAGCTTGGACAGGCCGGGAAGTCGCCCCTGGGGCTCATTACCAGAGGCTTTTATACTCGGGTCCAAACAGAAAGTGGGATGGGGCCTTATAAGGGGGAAAATACTTTTCCTTATATAGTAATGTGAGCTCTCATAGGATCCCTGTGGCTTGGTTGGACCCATACATCACTTCCGGGCCAGGCAGGGATTTCTGGGTATTGCAGTGATTGCATCATTATCCCTCCGCTCCCATCTGTCTTCTTCCTGTGGGCTGCCCCTCCCCAACCCTGGCTGGGCCCTCCTTGCCCCTACCCACCCCTCCTGCTTCTTTCCCCAGCTAGCATGCTCTCCCTATCTAGTTCTATATTCCATCTTCAGGTCTATTTCTGTCTTGTAGTCTATCTAAATAAAACAGGATGTCCACTGAATTGAGAGAAAGTGTGGTGCGAAGTGGTTACAGAGCTGGGTTTCACGTGTGCTCTGGGTACTGTGTAATTTGAAACTCCATTGCTGCATCTTTGCAATGGAGGTACACGTGTAGCCGTAAGTAAGTGCTCTGCAGGTGTGACAGCAGCTACCGCCGTTACAGTCGGAATCGGCTGAAGGTACAGTGTCTAAGTGAAACCAAGGTGCACTTTACACTTCCAGGCCAGCGACATCATCCTTCGTGACCCCGAGGGAGCTTTGTGCACTGCTTCCCTTGAAATTGGCATCTTTTTTTCCCCCCTTACATCAAATTTAATTTTTTATTTACTTAATTTGCCTTTTTATTGTTTAGGTTGTGAATGTCTTAAAATCCTTACTGACAAATCTTGATGGAGTCAAGAAAGAACGAGAAGGACTTGAGAATGACCTGAAGGCAGTGAATTTTGATATGACAAGCAAGTTTTTAACAGCTCTGGCTCAAGACGGTGTGATAAATGAAGAAGCTCTTTCTGTTACTGAACTGGATCGAGTCTACGGAGGTCTCACGTCGAAAGTGCAGGAGTCTCTGAAGAAGCAGGAGGGGCTTCTTAAAAGCATTCAGGTGAAACACATCTTTGATAAGCTACCTACTCAAGTTTCCTGAAAAGATACATTGGCACTGAGCCCCAGTCTGCTTAGGAAGATGAAAATGGAGAATCTGTGAAATGTACTACTTAGATATTTTGCAAAATTTAATGTGGCACATTGATTTTAAAAAACAAATCCTCCCTTGTTTTTTTAAGGTTATAATTTTCCTCCTTGCTTGCTATTTGTTTGTTTGTTTGTTTAGTTATATTGGGAAGGCAGAGTTACAGAGAAAAGGAGAGTCAGAGAGTAAGATATTCCATCCGCAGGTTCACTCCCCAAATGGCGACAACAGCCGGAGCTGAGCTGATCCAAAGCCAGGAGCCAGGAGCCTCTCCTGGGTCTCCCACACGGGTGCAGGGTCCCAAGGCTTTGGGCTGTCCTCCACTGCTTTCCCAGGCCACAGGCAGGACACTGGAAGGGCAGTGGAGCAGCTGGGACATGAACCAGCAACCGTATGGGATCCCGGCACTTGAAGGTGGAGAGTTAATGGATTGAGCCATGATGCCAGGCCCTAAATCCTTACTTTTGTCGCTAAAATGTTGCATGCTAATTACAAGTGTTTGATACTCAGATATTTTGAATTGTTTTCATATTTTTGAAAGTTTTTTTTTTAAGCTTACAGAGGACAATCAATTATTGATAGTTGTACTTACATGATATGCATGCTTGAGGCCTTTTTTTTTAATGCGAGACCAAATATGTGTAGATGTTTGAAGCTAGTGTTTATATTTATAAATAGTTTGTATTAATAAGAATTGAAGCTTTGCCCTTTTAGTGGTTGTATTTAGTTAAATATCATGCTTTTATACTCCTGAATATTACCTATCTGTATGTAGTATATCCTATAAAATGAAGTTTCGTTTTTGTTATTGTAGGTGTTGTGGAAGCCCATAGTCACGGTTGTTTGTGCTTTCTCACTGGATCTATGAGCTTTTGCTTAGGGAAAGTGTTAAAGGACTTGTTGCCCTTGAGGTGCTACATTAGAAACGTTGCACATTTCTAGTATATGTTTGTCATTGTACTCGACTTTCCTCTTTAGAGAATAAAATATGTTACGTGCCGTATTCGTTTTGGATATGCATGTAAATTTGTAAATCTTTCTTTCAACAAGGTCTCACACCAGGAATTTTCAAAAATGAAACAGTCTAACAACGAAGCTAACTTAAGAGAAGAAGTTCTGAAGAATTTAGCTGCTGCATATGACAGCTTCGTTGAACTTGTAGCTAATTTGAATGAGGGCACCAAGGTATGAAGTAGATGTGAAAGAACCGAGCACTCCCCGTTTGGGTGTACAGTCATTGCTTGGGAAGGTCATTTGTGCTTCGCTGTGTTGAGTACGGTGGTTCTTACTGCCTTCCACCTCTGTAAGGTTTGTTGAAAGCTTACTGAAAGTATTTCAGGTTAGTGTGGGAAATTCTTACAGGAATTCCTACAGATCAGTGAAGTAACCGGTCCGAGTGAGTGATGAGGACCAGGAGTGGGCCCAGCTGACCTGTGGCGGGGCAGGGAGCGTGGCGTGCTGTCTAGTGCTGCGTGCTTTGCCCTTTGCACGCAAATGCTCACGTTTGTTTTAATCATTGACAGAAGAGTAGATGATTTTTTGAGGGTTACAGATGTCTAATTCCTTTTGATACTTAACATCTTAATGATCAAGGAATTAACTTAAATACAGTAGTATAATTTAGAACGCTGAAGAGGATAAAAATAGTGCAAGCCCTTGTGAATAGAGGGGATGGTGAAAGACCATTTTGATTTGGTTTAAAATGCTTCATTTAAATACATTGATACTCTGGAGAAAAACTCCAGGGAGCCTTTTGGAATTTTAAAAATTTATTTTATTTATTTTTTATTGGAAAGGCAGATTTACAGAGAGAATGACCTTCCATCTGTTGAGTCACTCCCCAAGTGGCCGCAAAGGCCAGAGCTGAGCCCACCCGAAGCCAGGAGCCAGGAGTTTCCTCCAGGTCTCCTATGTGGGTGCTGGGTCCTGAGGTCTGCTTTCCCATGCTGCAAGTAGGGAGCTGGTTGGGAAGTGGAGCAGCTGGGACACGAACCGGTGCCCAGATGGGGTTTTGGAGGATGAAAGGCTAGGATTTAGCCATTAGGCTACTGTGCCAGCCCCAACCTTTAGGAATTTTTTAAAAGTTGCTGAAATTATGCCTGTATCAGTAAATATGCAGATGTAAATTCTTTCATTTAGTAGATCTAGTGCCATCATTATGTGGTTGACTTTTCTATAGGAATTTGATACGTGTTCATAATCCTGAACTTCGAACTTGTTACCTCTTGGTAACAATGCTTGTCAAAATAGCTTTCCTTCATACATCTTAGGTCATCTGTGTTTCATAGCGTGGAGCTCAGTGCAGGCATGAATGTGTTTTCGGACCAGATTCCGTTTTATGTGAAGGACTTCAACTCTAGGTCTTATCCTTGACAGATGAGCTGTGGACAGTGTGCTCTTGGTTAACTCAGTGTGTTTGTTGTTTGCTTCTAGTTTTACAATGAGCTGACTGAAATCCTGGTGAGGTTCCAGAACAAATGCAGTGATATCGTGTTTGCACGGAAGACAGAAAGAGATGAACTCTTAAAGTAAGTTTCCTTTGTGCAAGTTATACTGAAGAATCTTCTTTCACAGTTTATATGAACGTCGGGGAGGAATCTGGTGATACGAGCAGTTTCTGTCCCTTTCTCCTTGGTATCTTACAAAGCAGCAAGCACGTGGGTGTGTGGCCTGGGAATGAAAGGATGGAGAGGAGCAGAGATTTCCTGCAGGTGCAGGTGCAGGGAGATGACAGAATGGCACGGGAAGTCGGTCAGCATCCTGCGTTACAGAGTGTTTTACCTTGAGTACCGTTTAATACAATTGCTGAGGTGGACTCCCATTTAGTGTAAGGGAAGATGTCAATTTTCTATTTTTGAATATTAATTTTCTTGGTCTTTTCAATGATGTGAATCTCTTTTGATGACGGATGAGTCGTTTTTAAAAATATAAACTATCTCATCGATAGATTTCTAAAACTTTTCATCTAGAAGTTTCCGTAAAAGTGCCTGCCTGGTGCCCAGCTCCGGTTCCTCCCTGCTCTCCTGTTCCGGCACACTCGGGGAGGCAGGGTGGCAGCCCGAATGGCTGGATTCCTGCCACCCACGGTGCACGGAGACCTGGTTGGAATTTCTGTCTTCCGACTTCACCCCAGCTCATAACATTTGAAGAACGAGCCAGTGGATGCAAGCTCTCACTTTTCAGGAGTCTTGGTTTTTCTTTTAAAGGTTGATTTGCTTCACTTCAAAGTTAGAGTTGTATATAGAAGGAGGGAGGAAGGAAGGAGCAGAAAAAGAGAATCTTCCATCTGCTGGCTCACTCCCAAAATGGCTGCAGTGGCCAGAGCTGGACTGATCTGAAGCTGGGAGTCAGGAGCTTCTTCTGAGGGTCCCATGTGGATGTGGGGGCCCAAGGCCTTGGGCCGTCCTCTGCTGCTTTCCCAGGCCAACAGCAGGGAGCTAAAGTAGCCAGCACAAAACCTGTACCCATATGGAACCCATATGGAATGTTGGCACTGTAGGCTGAAAATTAGCTTACTATGCCACCGCACTGGCCCCAGTGCTTGCTGTCTTTTAAACTTTAAAAAAAAATACATAAAAACAAACAAACAAAAAAACCATCCTTTTAGGATTGCTTGCCCTGTGTCACGTGTTCCTTCCCCTAGCTGTAACTGTGATCCCTGGAAATGTTTTCCTGCTTTCACAGTCTTCATTAATAGAATAGATACAATTTCATTGTGTTAAAGAGTAGGAAGAGAGGTGCAGTTTCAGATGAGGGTAGAAATTCTGTATATTTAAAAATACCATTTTAAAAAAGGATCTCCCATCTGCTGATTCACTCCCCAAGTGGCTAAACTGGTTGGAGCTGAGCCCACGCGAAGCCAGGAGCCTGGAGCCTCCTCCAGGTCTCCCACGGAGGTGCACTGTCCCAAGGCCTTGGACCATCCTCTACTACTTTCCCAGGCCACATCAGGGAGCTGGGTTCTGGTGTCTGCTTCTTATCTGTTGTCTTTATGCTTGAAATAAAGAAGACCTGGAATTTGATGTGTCTTTCAAACTTGATGTTGCCGTCTGACATCACTCTGTTTTTACTAAGGGACTTGCAGCAGAGCATTGCCCGAGAACCGAGTGCTCCCGCGATCCCCACTCCTGCCTACCAGTCCTCCCCAGCAGGAGGCCACGCGCCAACTCCCCCCACCCCAGCACCAAGAACCCTGCCGGTGAGTGGGCAGAGCATGGCCACGTGCTACGGAGGATGTCATGGTCACCACCGAGCGCCGCTGACCGAGCTTCTGGTTGACCACAGGGCGCTCAGGAATTCTCACCAAAGAATGTGGGGTCTGAGGCTAGTCGACTGTTCGACTGTATAACACATACAGTGACAGAGTAAGACAGCAAACTGTGCCATTATGCAGTAATTGGAACTTTTCTAAAGCATGGACATCCCTCTAAGGCTCCTGGGTCAGCCTTTCCGAAAAGAGGGTCATGGTACAAAAGGGGGGTGTGTCTTAGGATGAACACAGCTGTCAGCCGCTGCCAAGCCTGAAGCTGGATGTCGGTTCACAGAGCAGGTGTGGGGACCTTTGCTATGACGCATAGGAGCTGAGTCCTGGGTGGAAGGATGCTGTGGGGTGCTTACTAGTGTTCTCAGGGTGCCATGAGGTTGTGCACACGTTGAGAAGATCCCTGGAAGAAGCTGAAGTCTAGAAATGGCATCGGGAAGTGTGCCGCTTACTCTTAAAGGGTTCTGCACCTACAGGTGTGCCAGTGTGGCCAAATGCTAACAGGTACTGGATTCTGTGGCTAGCGGTGTGATTGATGTTAGTATTTTATTAATACTAGTTTGGGAACTCTGTAGGAATTTTCTATATGCGTTTATTTCTATTAACTAATAGCCTTTTGAGCCCAACAGGAAACATGTTGTAATGCGTGCTTTTCCTTGCAGCCTTCAAAGCCTCAGCCCCCAGCCCGGCCCCCGCCTCCTGTACTTCCGGCCAATAGGACTCCTTCTGCCACTGCCCCGGCTCCTGGGGGTGCTGGTGTCCCGGCAGCCGCTCCTCCCCCAGCCCCCAGCTCAGCCCCTCCTCCGCAGGCCCAGGGGCCACCGTACCCCACCTACCCAGGGTATCCCGGGTAAGGCGCATGTTTCCGTCCGTTCTTCATTAACCTCTTTCTCCCCTTTAAACATTTTTTTAAAAGGTTTATTTTGTGTATTTGAAAAATGGGGGCGATGACAGAGCTCTCGAATCTGCTGGTTCACTCTCCCAATGGCCATGAGACGTCTAGGCGAAGGCAGGAGTTTCATCCAGGTCCCCCTGTCGGTGGCAGTTGCCCAAACACTTGGGCCGTCTCCTGCCGCTGTCCTGGATGCGTTAGAAGGCAGCTGGAGCAGCAGAGCAGGCTCTGATACGGATGCCAGCGTACAGGCAGCAGCTTCGTGTGCTGCACCACAGTGCTGGCCAGCCTGCCTCCTCTTTCTTCCCTCCCTGCCTCCCTCCTTTCCTATCCTCCTTTTCTTCCTTCCCTGCCTTCCCCCTTCTTCCTCTCTTTTAAAAGATTTATTTATTTGAAAGCTGCAGTTAGACGCAGAGAATCATATCCGAAGTGGAGCAGCCGTGACCCAAACCTGCGCACATACGGGATGCCAGCCCTGTAGGCAGTTGCTTAACCTGCTATACCACAGTGCCAGACCCATAATCACCTCTTTCCTAAATAGGTGTTTCATAAGCTACATTGCAGTTGATTAAAAATTTAAAGTGTCAATAGTTACTTTTTGAGTAACTACTCAATAGTCATTTCCCAAGCTTTTACAGTTATGTTTTTATTTTGTATATCAAATTTATGCTAAATGTATCTCTTCTTACAAAATTCCGTTATATGTTTCCTTTATGTAAGTGGTAATAGGTACTTTTTCTGAGCTCAGCACAGTAAGCCTGATAAGGCCTTATTTATACATCTGTGCTTTGAAATCTTGGCATTTAATAAGGTGTTAAGCTGTTGAGCAGGGATTTGCTGTAATTATGGAATGCACTTTCTTTTTTTTTTAAAGATTCATTTTTATTTATTTATTTATTTATTTTTTATTGGAAAGGCGGATATACAGAGAGGAGAGACAGAGAGGAAGATCTTCCGTCCGATGATTCACTCCCCAAGTGAGCCGCAACGGCTGATACTATGCCGATCCGAAGCCAGGAGCCTCTTCTGGGTCTCCCACGCGGGTGCAGGGTCCCAAAACTTTGGGCCGTCCTCAACTGCTTTCCCAGGCCACAGGCAGGGAGCTGGAAGGGAAGCAGGGCTGTTGGGATTAGAACCGGCGCCCATATGGGATCCCGGGCGTGCAAGGCGAGGACCTTAACCACTGCGCCACCGCGCTGGGCCCGGAATGCACTTTCTTAAAGGGTAGCTTTCTTTGTGGTAATTTTTAAAACCACAGTGATCAGGACTGGGGAATGCAGAAAGGGAGAGGGATTGAGCTTCCTCTGCTGGCTGGCTCTGCAGTGATGGAGCGGCTGGAGGTGGAGTCAGGTGCTCTCGCCCAGTCTCCTGTGCAGGTGGGAGGGGCCCAAGCACTGGGACTGGCTTCTGCTGTTGCCTTCCTAGGAAGCTGGGGCTGCACCTGCTAGCGGGCCCCAATGGGGTGCTGGTGTCACAAGTGGCAGCTTATCAGGTGTGCCACAACACTGAACCCTACAGCAATTTCTCAGTCTTTAAAATCCAGACATCTGGTTACCTTTTAGTGTGTGTTGCTATTCTACAGGTAAATACATGTGTTTTCCAAATCTTAGAGGTTGGCACTGGGGTGCGGTGAGTTAAGCCACTGCCTGCAGTGCTGACATCCCACGTGGGTGCTTGTTGGAATCCTGGCTACTTCACTTCAGCTTCCAGCCCACGCACCTGGGGAAGCAGCAGACAACAGCCTAAGCCCTGGTGCTCAGGTGGAAGGTCCAGAAGCAGCTCTGGGCTCCAGGCTTCAGGCTGGCTCAGCCCCGGCCACTGCACCACTGGGGAGTAAACACGGAGGATCCCTCCCCTTTCCCCTCTCTCTCTTACTCTGCCTTCCACATGAGTAGATTTAAAAATAGGATACATTTATAGTCATGATGAGTTTTGGTTCTTGTGGAACAGAAATCTATTTAGATTACTGACTTCGCTGCTCTGTTCCTCCTTTTCAGTAAACGTTTATTTTGTCTTCTGGATAGTAATAAGCACTTGACAGTCCTGATTTTAATTAATGCTGGGATCGGAGTGCTTTTCTCGAATTAAGTGTAGCGAAACAGTTTTTTCTTTCTACTTCTGAACTAGATTGAAAAATAGAAAAAAAGCTTTCTTGAAAAAGAAGAAAGTCTTGTTTTTGCAGCAGTTAGGGTGTGTTACATTTCTTAGGATTCGATTTACCCAGGCGGTGTCTGTTCTCTTCTCCCCACCAGGTACTGTCAGATGCCCATGCCCATGGGCTACAACCCGTATGCCTACGGCCAGTACAACATGCCCTACCCGCCGGTGTATCACCAGAACCCCGGACAGGCTCCGTACCCAGGACCCCAGCAGCCAGCGTACCCCTTCCCTCAGCCCCCACAGCAGTCTTACTACCCGCAGCAGTAAGCTGTCTGCTCGGAAGCTCAGCTGGTGCCGCAGAGGGAAGGAAATGGCAACCCTGCAATAAGTGTACTAAACTCCATGCTCCACTGTACTGAACGCGGTCTAGAATTCTGTCTGTGGCTGAAAGCTTACAGCTGTGCCCCAGTTCCACATTTGATTGCACATGTGAGATTTGCTGCCGTTGCAGCATAAACACTAAGTATAATAGGATTTGAAATAAATTAAAGTTCCTACAAGGTTGAAAATGAGAAATTAAACCTGCAAGTGAAACATTTGAAATTACAATTCTTTCTACAAAAGACGTGGTTGGACGTCAGATACTTATAAAGATGGTTTAAGTACTGATATTCAAGAAAACTAAGTTTTCTTTCTCTTTTGGTTTATTGATTTAGTTTCATTTTCAATATGCTATTTTGAGTAATCAAAGCATTGTAAATCTTATAATTTAAAAAATAAATTGCTTCAGAACAGTTGGCATTGTTATGTTTTGTCATTGATTCTCATTATTGTCTAATTTCTCTCTGCTATTAATCTTTCATTTTGTATGTTTGTAAGTTAAACCAGATACTCTGTTTAAGTGCATAAATAGTGCAAGTTGCTAGTAAGGTTCAAGGCTATTTTGTGGAAAAACCCAAAGAACAGTGCCATAATACATCTTTTCCTTTGCTGATTAGTAAATTGATTTTGACATTATTTTTAAAACTTCAAAATATGGGAAGAAACACGATTGCTACCAAAGATGCTTCAAGTAAATAAAATATATATTTACTGTTTTGTGGTTTGCCTCTCCAGGAAATTGATGCAGATTCTGTTAACTCTCTCTTTTTCCGTAACCCGCTTACAATAAGCACGTGTCATTGACAGTGCTGTCTAATGAATGGAATTTTTTGGAGAGATTCACCCCAACCTTGTACTCATTTCTTCTACCCTACTGTCTTAACTTAGTACCATTCAACGCACAATGTGTGTGAGTAGATCTGAAAGCCCTTTTTGACTTATTTCTATTTTTTATTTTGCTCCTAAAAGATTGAACAATTGTTTCTTTTAGGGAGCACAGAAAAGCAGTTGCTAGGAACCTAAGTCAGTGTGTTGAACATTGGCCTCTGTTGTTGGTGTACTCCGTCACCGTGTAAACCTCAGACCGAGTGCTGACACACATCCTGTAGTGGGCAGGTGTCGAAGGCCTGAGCTGGCCGGCCTCGCCGTGGGATGCGCTGTGAGAACGTATGAGGGTTGGGAGAAGATTTCCAAGAGTCTTTGTTTCTTAATGCTGATAGTGTTCTTAGCATTCTTGTTTGATTTCAATGATACTGTCACTTGGCCCACTGTTATTTTCGTTGACAGTTTGGTTTTATATTTGAACTGTTAGACTGAAAGTATGATTGTAAAAGGCAGCAGATTGCTTGAAAAACATGTATGTTCTTTTAAAAAAAATTCTTGTTGTATGTAGCCAACGTGAAGACATGTTAATTCAATAGAGACAATCTTGGATTACATAGCATTTTGAAGTTGATTTATAGTCCAGTAGTTGGCAAGAATAGTTTTCTTATATATCATTGCTAAGTTTTAATACTTTGGATTCATCAAAGTGTAAGATGGGTTTGCTTGACTCCTGTGTAAATGGCGATTAAACATGGCATTCTTGTTACTCAAGGTATCTTCTATAAAACACCCAGTGAACGTTAGGAATATTTCAAATTGTTAGTTTATAATTCTTACTAAAGCAGAAAATAAGAAAAAAAAATTGGCCTGAATATTCTCTTGGGGAACAAGAGGGCGCTAAGGGGAAGGGCAAGTGCGTTAGGGGGCTGGAAGAGCAGGACGCTGGGCTGGAGCTCTCACAGGACGCTGCGTGGCTGTGCGTGGGGAGGGCTGCGCAGCCCCTGGAGGCAGCTTCCCTGAGAGCAAGGCTTTTTCGAAAGGAGCAGCTTAGGCCCACTCTCTCCTGCTGTTAAGTAGTTGCTTGCTTGGTCACCTGCGTGGAGGCACAAAAGAACAGGTTCTGGCTGGGTGCACCTTTATAGACCTGGGTTGTTTTATTCAAGTGACCCAAGTGTGTGGACAGGAAAGCTCTCTAGAGATTGTTCCTGTTATTACTAAACTTTGTAATGCGAGTCTTAGCTTCTCGTGGGCCGCAGAATATCCCAAGTTTAGTTAGTGGATAGTGCTATTCATTTGTAAGTAGGAGGGTTCCATTGTGTGGTTCTCTGTTGTACCCGTGTTAATTTAGATTTTTTAAAATGATCTTTTATTTGATGTTGGGCTGTGGAATATTGTTTAAAAATGGATTATTTTTTCAAAGAATGAAGTGTGTTAGATACTGGTCAGCTGGTTCCCGGTAGGAAGCTGGGTCTGCCTTGGCAGCAGGCTGGAGCAGAGCCGGTGCACAGGGAGCTAAACTTGGGCCTCAGTCTTCATTCTCAGAAGAGCAGGTGTACGGCTCGGCAGGTCGGTCTGCCTGACGGTCCCTGGGCCTGTACCACAGTTTCCTCATCTCACCCTCTGCCCCTTCATCCAAGGAGTGACAGAGGCACATGGTGGGTCCCAGAGCCTTGTGTCTCACACGTTCTAGTCAAAGCAGATTGAAAAATATGGTTTCTACGAGAGCTTTACAGTTTGCAAAAGTGCTGTGTGTTCATTTTCTAATTTCATAAGCTGGACACGATCTTTGTTAAGTAAGTTTTAGTTCTAATGCTTTTTTTGTTTGTTTGTGTTTTGGTTTGGTTTTATCTTTTTGGATTGCGTTATCTTGAATCTTGCTAGAACCAAGTGACATCTTTTAAAAAAAAAAAAGACTTGCAATTATTAGTTGATTCACATTGAACAGGATAGAAAACAGGAAAAAAAAAAAAACCCTGGTATAGTGCTGTGATTACTTGTTTAAAAATAGACTTTAGAAATAAATGGTTGATTGTAATATTTACATGGAAGAGCAAAGAAGGAGAAATTATATTTTTAAAGAAAGAGAATATTCAGGCTTTATTTCTGGTATGAAGTTTATATTTTTTAAAGAAGTCCTATATTACCACACCAGAGATTTTAGATTCTTTTCTGGTTACAAACATTGCTGGCAGTTGGATTATATTTTTATTGTATTAATTTCTGTTAGGGGGAACATTGTAAAGAAATAAAAAGGTTCCAGATGAATGTATCCTAGAAATAAAAGTTGAAAGATTCTTACATCCTTGGAGTATGAATTCTTATTTAAGTGTTTGTCCTTCAGCCTTACAGTTTATGTAATTTCCTTGACAACTGATAGTTTGTGAAATAGATACCCACTTTGACTAAACTCATGAGACTAGATTCAAGGAAGACAGTTTTGTCTCATGATTTATTTTTCAGCTGTCATTTCTAAAATTTTCCCATCATGGGTGGACCATGTGTTTAGGTAAGTGTTTGTTTTGTTTTGAAATGGTCAGTGAGATCACCATGATATGCTATTGGTAACAGAGAAGTGTGATTGTCCCTTAAACCATGCTCTTGTTCTCCCAGATTTCAAGGGCAGGTTTGAAGTTTTAGTATTATTATTATTATTTATCATTTTATGATACAGTTCCATAGCCTCCTGGAATTTCCCTTAACCCCTCTCAAGTTCCCCCCCCCACCTAATTCTTATATATCATTACTAACATATAGTTCTTCATACACAGTCATATGTCCATCATTGTGGGCATGGACAATGGCAGAGAGTCCAGCATCCTATTGTCAAGATACAGTAAACAGTTTCATTGTAAGTCCATCTTTGTCTGGAAATAGAGATGCATACTACTTTGTATCCTCACATCTGGATGTTAGTCTCCATTTCATAGTTACTGTACCTCCCCTTAAATGAAAAGTCACAAGGAAGAAAAATAGAAATTTACAATGCCATGAAGTTAAATGACATGTTACTAGCTATGACAGTCTCCATTACCCAGCTACTATACACCCCCTTAAATGAAAAGCCACAAAACCAGATCAACAACAGGAAGAAAAAAAGAAATTAACAACACCATGAGGCTAAATAATATGCTACTGATAGATTAATATGTCACTGAAGAAAAGAAAAAATCAAGAACCCTCTTGAAGAAAATGATGCTACTGTATGATCTATGAGTGACTGAATAATCACAAGAAGCTGTTTTGAAGAGATGAAACTAACAAAACAAAAACACCAAATGCATGAGATAATAGCTTCTGCTGATTTTTGTTGGTGAAATGTGTCTCTTCTAGAAAACAAATAGATGTGTTTTGTTTTTTAGTCCACTGTACTAATCTATGATGTTTGAGCTTAAGCCAATTACTTTCAGGGTTAATCTGTATGGGTGGTACTTTGGTCCTGTCCTTTTAGGAATGGGTTGTTCATTGATTTAGTCTTCTGTTGTCATTTTACTGGGATGTTCTCATTTGCCTTTGGTTTTGTTGAGTGCTATTCCTCTTCTCTGTCAAGAGAACATCTTGAAGTATCATTTCTAGGGCAGGTTTGGAAGAGGAATATTCTTTTAAATTTTCTTTACTGTGGAAGAATTTTATTTCTTTTTAAAAAAGATTTATTTATTTTTATTGGAAAGGCAGATATACAGAGAGGAAGATCTTCTATCCAATGGTTCACTTCCCAATTGGCCACAACGGCTGGAGCTGAGCCAATCCGAAGCCAGGAGCCAGGAGCCTCTGCCAGGTCTCCCACACAGGTGCAGGGTCCAAGGTTTTGGGCCGTCATCGACTGCTTTCCCGGGCCACAATCAGGGAGCTGGCTGGGAACCGGGGCCGCCGGGATTAGAACCAGCGTCCGTATGGGATCCCGGTGCATTCCAGGCGAGGACTTTAGCCACTATGCTATCGCACTGGGCCCTTATTTCATTTTCAAAGACAAAAGAAAGCTTTGCTGGATATGTTATCTTGGGTCGGCAATTTTTTTTTCTTTTAGAATCTGGAATATGTCGTTCCATTCTCTTTTTGACAGTATAGTTTCCTGTGAGGGGTCTCCTGTGAGTTTAATTGACATTACTTTATGTGTCAATTTTTTTCATGTGCACATTTAAGGATCTTTTCCTTATGTTTGACTGAAGAGAGCTTGATGACCATGTGTCTTGGTGAAGATCGCTTTTGATCAAGCCTGTTGGCAGTTCTGTGCACCTCCTGGATGTTATTTCCCAATTCTTTCTCTAGGGAAAATTTCCCTTATTATTTTATTAAATATATTTGTAAAACCAGTTTCTCTTCCTGCACCTTCTGGGACTCCCATAACTTTTTTTTTTAAAAGATTTATTTTATTTTTATTGGAAAGGCGGATATACAGAGAGGAGAGACAGAGAGGAAGATGATTCACTCCCCAAGTGAGCACAATGGCCAATGCTATGCTGATCCAAAGCCAGGAGCCTCTTCTGGGTCTCCCACGCGGGTGCAGGGTCCCAAAGCTTTGGGCCGTCCTCGACTGCTTTCCCGGGCCACAGGCAGGGAGCTGGAAGGGAAGCGGGGCTGCCGGGACTAGAACCGGCTCCCACATGGGATCCCGGGTGTGCAAGGCGAGGACCTTAACCACTGCGCCGGGCCCTCCCATAACTCTTATATTTGGCCTCTTAATAGTGTCTTTCAATTCTTGAATACTTTTTTGGGCCTGATCCAGCTCTGCTTCCAGCTTTTTTTTTTTTTTAAAGATTTATTTTATTTTTATTGGAAAGGCGGATATACAGAGAGGAGAGACAGAGAGGAAGATCTTCCGTCCGATGATTCACTCCCCAAGTGAGTACAACGGCCGATACTATGCCGATCCGAAGCCAGGAGCCTCTTCCGGGTCTCCCATGCGGGTGCAGGGTCCCAAAGCCTTGGGCCGTCCTCGACTGCTTTCCCGGGCCACAGGCAGGGAGCTGGAAGGGAAGTGGAGCTGCCGTGACTAGAACCGGTGCCCATATGGGATCCCGGGCGTGCAAGGCGAGGACCTTAACCACTGCGCCATTGCGCTGGGCCCTTCCAGCTTTTTGTTTGCTTCCCCCTGGTAACAGGAAATATCTTCCAATTCTGAGATTCTTTTTTCTGCTTGCTTCATTCTATTTTGGAGACTCCCCACTGTACTTTTAATTTGCTCTACTGTGTTCTTAATTTCTGATATATCAGCCTTGATTTGCTTTATTGCTGCTTTTTCTTGTGTAATATATTCCTTAAATTCTTTGAACTCCTTTATATGCTTCTTGTTATCAGAAACTTTAAAATGAGTTTTCTGAATTCTGTGTCCACAATTTTCTCGGTGTCTTCCTCAGTGAACTCTGAGTTTGGAAAAGGATTTTGCTCCTTTGCAGGGGAGACTTCAGTAATATTCATTGTGCCTCTGACTCTTCTTTTGCTCTTGGTCATTGTACTTCTGGTTGTCAGATTCTTCTCCTTGGGGCAGGTTTCTAAGCTGTGTCACCCACAGGTGTACAGTTCGATTTTTTTTTAAATGTATTTATTTTTATTGGAAAGGCAGATATACAGAGAGGAGGAGAGACAGAGAGGAAGATCTTCCGTCCTACGATACACTTCCCAAGTGAATGCAATGGCCGGAGCTGCGCCGATTTGAAGCTGGGAACCAGGAATCTCTTCCGGGTTTCCCACACGGGTGCAGGGTCCCAAAGCTTTGGGCCGTCCTCAACTGCTTTCCTGGGCCACAGGCAGGGAGCTGGATGGGAAGTGGACCTGCCGGGATTAGAACCGGCGCCCATATGGGATCCAGGCGCGTTCAAGGTGAGGATTTTACCTGCTAGGCCACAGCGCTGGGCCCTACAGTTTGATTTTACTTATTGCTGTTGCTCTTTGCAGCCAATTGTGCCACTCTCTCCAGCGAGTTCCAGGTCTTGGTTCTTACGTTAGATTTCCACAAAGAACTCCGTAGCCCCAACTCCTGGCTCACCAGTCTCCACGTCCTGTGATGCCGTGCTGAGGCTGCACCGCCGTCTCTACAACCTTTTTTCCACTTTCGGTTGGAGCAGGTCCCAGGATTAGAGAGACACCAGGTGTCCTATATAGCTAGGTTGTTGGTGGCGCTGATCTTGCCGGGACCTGTTGGACATTAGGTCTGGGTGCCACACGGACCTATTTTGAGCCGTACGATGCCACAGTCGGTATTATTTTTCTGAGGGACCAGTGCAGTCCACGGACCTCGGCGTGTTCTCGCGAGCTCAGCACATGCGCAGTCCACTGTTGTCCGCTGCAGTCCTAAAGCGCTTGCTACAGTGTACAAAATGGCACCTGACGTACCACTGCTAGAGTTCTTGATCTGCTGGCCGTCAGGTCTGAGGGTTACCCAGACCTGTCGTGGGTGGAACCTGAAGAATGCCACGTTGCTGCAATGACCCGAGTCAAAAGCGAGTTCACTCCGAGCTCAGTTTATGCTCAGTCCTTCCCCTTGCCTTCATCTCCTAAGGCAAAATGGCGCCAAATCAGCTCCGGGAGGCTGACCGGGCTGCAAAATCCACCCTGTTCCCGCACCACCTGACTGGGACCTGCCGCTCTGTCTCTGCTCCTGGTCAAATCGAACGGACCAGCAGATGGACAATTTCTTTGGGTTCATCCCCCCAAGTTCCCAGGGAAAATCCCTTCCCACCTGGTTGCAGGTGGCGTTCCGGCTGCTGGTGGAGTTCAGATGGCCCTTAGCTGAATGCCGCCGGAGTATCAGTCACCGCGACATCACACTGCTGTGTCCGCTGCCTCCCCGCGGCTGACGGTCTCCAGGTACCCCTCTCCTGTTGTTCTGTCCTCTCGGCTTCATCCTGATTGAATGTTTCTCCGTCCGTGGAAACGCGTCCTTATCCTATTCCGCCATCTTGACTCTCCGAGAGAATTACTTTTGAAACCTTACTAAAAAAGAAATGGAAAACTGTCTACAGCCTGGTTTCCTGTGGCCATTTAGGGAGCGAACCACCGGAAGGAAGGTATTTCTCTTTCCCTACTTCTCTCCTAGCTCCTACTCTCTAAAAAAAGATTTATTTTTTATTGGAAAGGCAGAGCTTCAGACAGAAGGAGAAATAGAAAGATCTTCCATTCACTGGTTGACTCCCCTGTGGCTGTAATGGCTGCAGCTACACCGACTTGAAGCCAGGAGCCAGGAACTTCTTCCTGTTCTTCGAGTGGGTACAGGGTCCCAAGTCTAGGTTTGAGGTTGTTAACTGTGGAGCTAACATGCAAGTGTTATCGGAACAAGGTGTTGGTTGTCTGTGTCTCTCAGGTG